TTCCTAATTACGAATAGGACATTCAGCCAAATGATTAAGGGATATCCATGATCAGCTTCTCAAGCATCCTTTATGCAAAGTTACAGCAAATTTTGAGAATTCGATCTCATATCGTATACCTGCCATAAACCTATGAGTAAGTCCTTTCACGTGGAGTGAGTGATGAAGCCTTGTAATTACTAAACCCAGTGATCAAGGGTGTTCATGCTCAACATGTTGAAAAAAAATCCTGTATGCAATATTACAAGAAATTTTGAGATTTCGATTCCATACCGTATATCTGCCGTACGCCACCTACAAGTAGGTCGTACCACTTGAAGTGAGTAAAGAAGTTGGCAGACGCCTTACTTGATCCACTACGTTATTGGTCAATCAGTGAACTGGCCGATAGCGAAGAGGGTGAAGGGATCAATTTGACCAAGTAGACATCCGCTTCGCTATTGGTCAGTTCACTTATATGACCAGTAGCGATTGGATGAAGCGAATAGGATCGTGTTTGGCACGTGCCATAGAAAAAAAGGAAGAGATTTCCATTTTTAGGCTGCGTGAAATGCTGCAGCAAAAAGTGCCGGGCAAAATCTTGCACGAATTTGCTTCATGATTTTTCCAGAAACTTCTCAGTGACCACTTATCAGCGACTTTAAACCGCTAATCGATGTTTCATGCATCTGCGCTGTTTTTCCCGATTAGTATCTGTGCCTCATCAGCCGGTCCACGGCCGTCTTCAAGGTCGCCTTTGGTTGAGTCATCACCTCGTTCTCCTCTCTCGTAACCTGTCAGTCATTTGACCCCATCCTCTTTGTGTACGCGGACGCTCGTACTTTCTCTCTGCGTACTTGCAATGACTCATTCCTTTCAGAATCAAATTTAGATTATTCACCCCTCCTTAAAAAACTTTGCATCATAACAACGTAATTTCTTTGCTTTCCTGCAAAACTTCTTCTTGTCCGAAAACAAGACCTTCTCAAATATTTCCATTCTCTATTGTAAATAGTAGATTTGTGGCTTGCACTATCTCTGCGGCGACCTTGCAACAAGTGTGGAATTTCAATCATCGAATAAATGGGATTAAATTATGCGCTATAAATTCTCTGCACGTATGGTTTTTGGTTTAATTTTAAATATGTAAGGTAGTCCGTCAACTTTTGAGTGATTGCGTCCCGAAGGGTAAGAGATTTGTTTCAATTTTGACGATCTGTTGACAGGCCAAATTAGTCCGGTTTTCGTGTACGAATACAGTAACCACTTCCATTGCCTTGACGTTGCAAATTATCAGTCACTCCATTGCTTGTTCGTTGCGATTTTTTCATTAATTTTACAGAAACTCTCAAATCCCAGTTAAATTCTCAAAAACTCTCAAATTTCTTTCCCAAGTTTTCCAAGATGATTTTGAAAAATATTCGAAGTTTTGACCAGAGCGCTAAAATCAGATGTAACTGTCTGATTGGCAAATGACATCGTAAATAAATCGCGAACTTTCATAAATTGTACGATAGGTTTACGGTAGCGGTTGGAGTCACTAGACAGCATGTAAACTTATCCAGACGTGTTTTTTGCCATCATGGTTTCAATCAACTGAATTAGTGCTGTATAAAATAATTAGTAATTAGTATAATTAGTGCTGTGGCTCTCGTTCTGCGCCCTCTTCCTTAAATGAAACGAAATTTTTGCAAGTGGCGAAGTTATAGAAATCCGGAAAAGATTTGTTTCTTGGAAATAATTAATTTTCAAAACCACAGAAAATATCAGAATAACTGCTAAATAAATTCTTGGCGCCGCTGCTGTGGCCACGCCCGCTTTTTTTATGAGGCGCCAGGGCTACAGATCTGCAACAGTTTTAGAGGGTATCAAATCTTTTGGGCAGGCTTGGAGAGAATCCCCCCCCCCTCTTTCCCCAAAATAAACTTCTTCGACCGTCGCTGAATGGTCCTTACCGCTGACAAGCATAAAGTAAAAAATTTTTTGTTTCCGTGTAGGTACCTAAGGTACCGATTTTTCTCCTCGCATCAACTGGCCGCTATAGACGCTAAGACTTCCTGAGGCGACGCTCAATTGCCCTAAATGTATGAAGGTTTATTCAAAGGATCATTTACAATCCCAAGCCCTATTCTCATTTGAGCAGGTGTTGTTCAAGGTCGTTGTCCCCGAAAAGAAGAATTTTCCTCCCTTTTCATTGACATTCACCAATTCTTATGACTGTGTCGCAGCACGAGTTCTTTGGCATTCGAGAAAAAACCTTATGTAGAAACATAGCGACGACTTTTTTCGTCTTCACGACCATCGATGATTGATGCGTTTTCTACTCTTGAGAATTCTCACTCGTGTTTGTCTCCAAAACGTGCAGAGCAGAGCCATTTTTGGAGCGATATTTAGGGGGTGGGGATGTGTCGTGATCAATGCTCATTGTCCGGCCGTTTTTGAATTCAATGACTCAGCACATCACTGCTGTCAGCCAATCCGCTTCTTCTTGTTCTACTAACCAGTTCTGGTTCTTCTCAAAACTTTAGAAAGCCGAAAACCTCTAATGGCTAATGGCCCTCTGCGCCTCCGCCGGATTCTAGAGCGGTTCTGCGCATCCCCTAGGTCTCAGAAATGCTGTAACGACTAGATATTCTGTTTATTTGCTAAGCCTCCCCGGTAGCTGTTCTTGACTGATATCTGTATGTTTTGCCTCTCCTTTTCCCACATCGTTGGCTAGATAATTCTCTTTTTTTCTGTCATCAAATGATCGATGAATTTTTTCAGATTGATTGCTGTTTTCTCCTTGCACTAATTTTGTAGTGTTTCATGTCCATTATGATTGATTTTTAAAAGAAAATCGGTAGAATTTTGAATTATTCCCATATTTAGCGACAGAGTATTTTTTAGGTTTCATTTTTTAGTTTTTTACGTTTCGGGTTTAGTGTTAGAGGGGACCTCGTCAAATTTCGCGAATGGTAAAGGGAGACTTCGTTTTTCGCGTATTCGGAAAGTCACCTCGTCGAGCCGTGTGTGTGTGATTTTTGCAATAACTTGCTTTATTCCACTTTCCTACTTGTTGAATCAGTAAACTCCAAGCCACATGGGCCTCTTTCTCATCTGACCTAAAACCATAACATTTTTACACTCATTTCAGTGGAAATCATTTTTGAAAGAATCTACTAATTGATGGTGCTGTGTCGCTAAACGCTTTTTGTCTCTCTTTGTCTTGTGCTTTTCTTGTCTCTTTTTATCTTCCTCTCTTTGTCTGTAAATTTCGTGTCGCACAAATTGGAGAAATATGAAGAAAGACTGGGTTTTCTAATATCTGTATAGCGTGGACATTAGCATGAACTATTATTAGTATGGATTTTGTAGGTATATCATTAAGCGGATGTTTCCCCTTATATTAGGTGGGTCCGAAAGTTCTGTCGTTTCATTTTTAGAAATTTGTAACTTCGCGAAATTTTAACGGATGTGCTTGCATGTAATTTCATTAGAAAGATTAGGTCTTCCGCTTTCAAATGCTGTTCCGCGGAGCTTCTGTTTCATACTGGGTGCGGAGATAAAAATGAAAAACTAAGACCATATAAGCTTTGACCATTTTAAGTTAGGTCATAAAAAATCTAGAATGTTGCAGAAAAATCTGAAATCGTCAGTACATATGTTTTTTCGCCTCCTCTTTGTAGCTGTGAAGAGTTTGTGCTATTTGGACGTCTCTGTAAAAAGTTATGATTTTGGCGAAAATTGACAAATTAAATAATTTTGGCGTTTTCTATAGTAAACTCGATATTCATAACTTCTCACAGAGACGTCCAAACAGCACAAGCTCTTCACAGCTGCAAAGAAAAGGTCAAAAAACAAACTTACTGCCGATTTCAGATTTTTCTGCAGCATTCCAGATTTTTGGTGACCTAACTTGGTCAAAGTTTATATGGTCTTAGTTTTCCATTTTTACCTCCGCACTCTGTGATCGGAAAAGTAGCAGCAAATAACAGCTATTTTTCTTATTTTCTATTTAGTACACTCAAGGCCTTCAAGTAAAACACAAGAAATCAGTAATTCAATGAATAAAAAACCTTTCAAAATTCAAAGACAGATATTCTTGCATCAAATTATGGGAGGATATCTGTCATACACCTTTATTTCGTTAACCGTAGTATCTTCTTCAGCTCTGTGAAATTCACTAGATTGCGAATCACTAAAGTCGATGAATGTATGACTGATTGTATTTCGTCGTGAATCTATAATTTCGATAGGGCTAGGGTATTTTTTCGAGAAACATCTGATGCAAGCAAGCTTATTTCCAGAAAGAGTTGCGTAATAGCATTCTTGTCAGCTTTCACTTCTTTTTCAAAGTGGGCTAAACATTGCATAATAAGTTTATCTGCAAATGACTCATAGCTCCTATGTACATAATTGCTATGCCCAAGATGCATTGTTACTTTATTTATTGCTGTGATACTTCTTACCATACTTCTGAACGGAAATGTTGTCATTTTCTTTGTAAGAATATAAAATATCTCATGTTTAGTTGCAGTTAGATGATGTCGAAATTGCCTTGTTCACAGAAGCAATTTTTTTCGAATTGAAGAACGAGCACGTGTGGCTTTCGAAGACACGTGCAAAATTTGAAAAATTCTTTTGAAAATCTTTTACTAGTTAACCAGTTTTGTTTGACGATATTTTGCTGGAATGAAAAATGAATCCGCGGCAATGAATAAATTACGGCGACCTAGACTAAAGTACTCATACATTTTAGCAGTATTTGCTTTCATTACTAGTTTCCCGCACAGATTTCCCAAAACTCCTACTCTTTTTTGTTCTTTCGACGAAGAATACACAACACTGAAGTCATATTGCAGATCCTAATGTCATATTATGTCTTTGAAACGGGAACTTTTCTAATCGAATTTATTGAACGAAAGAAAAAAAATCAGACTATTCTGACCTCTGCTAATCATTTCCATGTGTTTGTCGTATACAGTTCGTTTTTCATCTTTTCGTAATGATCTTTCGATTTTCTAACTTGTTGTTATAGAATGGAAAAATCCGCTGAAGGACAAGTGTTCGTAGTTGACAATCGACGACGTGATGAACTTATCAAAACTATATTGATTGTCATCTTAATTATTGTTTTCCCGGTAAGTACTTCATATACTTATTGAGATTACCCCAGCATTAAAATCATATGATTTGATTTTGGTTACTTCTATCATTGAGTTTGCCTGATTATACGTCAATGAAAAATCTTAGAGGCGTTCATAAGTGTTTTGAGTCTTGTTTAAGGTTTTTTATTGAGATGTTTTTTCCACTCTAGCGCACAACTTTCCTTATTTTCGTAAAAAAATCGTAAAGCCATACACATGCATTTATTTTTTTACATGAGCAAAATGCACTCGCCTATATTTTTGGTTGCACAAACTGTGGAACAATTCGATTTTGAACCGAGTCATGAACGAAAAGAGGTTATTTTTCTGATATCAATTATTAGGTGGGTCCGAAAGTTCTGTCGTTTCATTTTCAAAAATTTGTAACTTCGCGATTTTTCAACAGATTCGCTTGCTTGTAACCTTATTAGAAAGAATAAGTCCTTAGCTTTCAAACGCTGTTTTAAGGAGCTTCTGTTTCACATTGGGTGCGGAGATAAAAATGGAAAACTAAGACCATATATAACTTGACCATTTTAAGTTAGGTCACCAAAAATCTGGAATGCTGCAGAAAAATCTGAAATCGTCAGTACATATGTTTTTTAGCCTACTCTTTGCATCTGTGAAAAGTTTGTGTTGTTTGGATGTCTCTGTGAGAAGTTATGAATATCGAGTTTACTATGGAAACTGCCAAAAGTGATTAATTTGTCGATTTTTGCGAAAATCACAACTTCTCACAGAGGCGTCCAAACAGCACAAATTCTTCACATTTGCAAAGAGTACGCAAAGAACGTATGTACTGACGAATTCAGATTTTTCTGCAGCGTTCCCGATTTTTGGCGACCTAACTTAAAATGATCAAAGCTTATATGGTCTTAGTTTTCCATTTTTTTTCTCCGCACCCAATGTGAAAAAGAAGCTTATCAAAACAGCATTTGAAAGCGAAAGACTTATTCTTTCCAATAAAATTACAGGCAAGCAAATCCGTTGAAATAGCGCAAAGTTGCAAATTTTTGAAAATGAAACGACAGAACTTTCGGACCCACCTAATACTTGTAGATCATTTTGAAAGATTGACAAGACAAAAATCATATTGATGTTTGAAAGTCCATCTTTCACAACTAACTCTAACTCTTGTGTAGAACACGATAAGACGTAAAACAAATAAAGGAAACGACTGTGTTGACATTGGTAACACCTTATCTCTTCTTTTTTTCTATTGTGTCACCGATTGAAAAGTGAAAAGATTTTTTCGTACACCAAAGGAAACTTTCCATTGAAAAAATTTATGTACATTACTTGATCAGAATTTAGTGCCTCATATTCTTTACTTTGAAGAAAGAGCATGACTGTGCGATCCAGATGCTGTAGAACAGCAAATATTTTTGTCGAAAGAAAGAAATCTTGAGAAAAAGAGTGAAGTAAAAAATCTACACGAGTCAGGCCATAAATTACTAAAAGCAGTAGCATGCGCAGAATTCCTTTCGGGTAGGTGAGGGGGGGGGGAGGGGTCACGAGGAAGAACGCAAAAAAAATTCTGAGATGAAGGAGCGTGGTGCCTAATAGGTATAAAGTTTTTTCCTGAGATGGATGTCTCAGTGCTGACAAATTTTTGACCACCATAAGCTTTTGGCGAAGTTTACGGTTCAAGTTTTTGATTTTACAAATCTTCTTTCAAGAATATTACAAAGACAAATCAATCTTGAAAAAATTAAATAAGTATGTTTAGTGACAAAATAATGAGATATATGTGCAATTTCACCCTCTCTAACTCTAACAGTGAATTTGACAGAGAGACTATCTGTCTTAAGTGAATTTGCTGCGCAGCATTACCCAGCTACTCCGGTTACACTGGCGCGGTTCCGAACCACGCTCACTAGAGAAAACTTGGACGGAGAGACGCAGACGTTTAGAGTAACCGCGCCGCCGCTTTGACCGCAGTCGTGCATTGCGCATTGTCTGCGTCGATTACTCCAGTCGAAACTTGTGGAAGAACTCAAATTGGAAATTGTAGGGTAAAAATAATAACAATTATAACAATTATATTGTAATATAGTTTTACATTATTTAGATAAAAATTGGTGATAGTAGAATGTTAAAATAAAAATTGGAATATTCTTCCATGAAGGCGATTTTTGCAAACGAAATTTACTTTTCAGCCAGCAGCCATAGCAGTTCAAGCGAACGAGTGCAACATCCACGTGGTAGTCAGTCTGTTTCTGATGTTCTTCTTCATCATCCCCGCGTACATTCATGCCGTCTGGTACTGCTTCATCCGCAAACCCGCCGAGCACATCATCGCCTGAACACAGCGCACGTCTTTCGCTCATCTCATCCCAACTCACTCCCATCGCAAGCAGCTTCTGCCGCTGGGAAGCGCACTTTGTTCTCGTTTTTCTGTTTTATATTTGCAGGCTTTATGTTGATCAGTTTACCCATTGTGCACAAGGACCAGTTCAACCCCCTCTCACTTCGCACTTACCCTCTTATTGTTGTCATTCCACTTGTTTATTTTATTGATCATGTTCTCATGTATTTTGACCACAAATAAAAATTTGATAATTTGGTTCTACTGCACCTCGTAAAGTCCGGGAGCACACTACAATATACCATGAAACGTTATTTGGCACATTGATTCATTTACTAAAATGACTGCTTTGAGAATCTACGACAAAAGACAGCTGACGGAATTTTCAACGATTCCGATGTGAAAAAATCATCATAGATGTGACTACTGCAAAAGTTTGTTTGACCAAATTCGAAAAGAAAACCAGTGAAGGAACTTTGAGTAGGAGCAAATGTCTTACAGGTTTTGCTAAAGCAGAGACAGCTACGTAGAACTGTGATTGAGGATAGTCGATATTATAGAGCGATCATATGCTGCTGAGTTATGGTTTAGAGAGCCTTGCTCTTTTGATTTCTGACTAACTTGTAACCTAATACGTGAGTGCTTCTTACGCGCAAGGATTTATCGAATACGCAAAAGAAGATCTGAAGGTTACAGACAGCATCCTCCCAGTTCATCGGCTTTATTTTTTATTGCACTCTTGGGTTTTTCCAAGGCACCCAGAAACCCCCACTTCTTGTTCGGCAATCGTGGACAAGTGCTTTGGGGCCAGTTTTATCGTATGCAACAGCAAATTCCGTCATATGCAACAGTAAGTTCCGTCGTATGCAACAAGAAGTTTCGTCTTATGCAACAGTAAATTCCGTCGTATGCAACAGGAAGTTCGTCGTATGCAACAGGAAGTTTCGTCGTATGCAACAGGAAGTTTCGTCGTATGCAACAGGAAGTTCCGTCGTATGCAACAGGAAGTTCCGTCGTATGCAACAGTGACACAGTAACGTGTGCTCTATGCTTGTCATGTCAGAACGCGCTAGGGGATAATGCTCTCTATTTGGCTGAAATGTAGGTAGTGGGTATCGAAATTTTGTAATAAAAATCCTTGTCGACTGCAAGTCCATCTTTTCATAGAGACAAAATTAAGGGTCCCAACCTAGGTGCTTCACTTATAGGCCTGCTTTTAGACTACGAAGTATGGAGATCATGGGCAGGGCTCGGCACAGGTGGCTTGTAAGCAAGCTGGGTATCGTTTTTGGGACAAAAAGCAAAGGGGGTTCGTTTTTGTGACCGAAGAGAGACGCGAAATTGGCGACTTGGCGAGTTTTTTTTAGTCGACGTTTCGTTTTTTGGGGGATTTTGGGGAATTTTTCAGTTTTTTAAAGGAAATCTGGTTGAGGGTCAAAGAGGACTTCGTAAAAATTCCCAAAAGTCAAGGGGGACTTCGTTTTTTCCATTTTCATCTAGCCACCTCGTGCCGAGCCCTGATCATGGGTTGCGGCTTTTGAGAAAAAATGTTGCTGTATAGCCTATTCATTCTTCAAAAGTGAGCGATCCTACGAACCAACTGAGCAACATAGTTCACATTCGTTCCAACCTACAAATGCGAATTCGACCTACTTAGTTGTTTGATACAGGAAGTTACAATTACAGTTGCTCGATTTTTCAGCCGATCTTGGGAGAAACAAACAGAGTACGATTTTGAAGAATAAAGATTGCCAATAAATGTGTGTAAGTAGGTAAATAATGAATTCCACTACTAATCAGTCCAAGTGTGAACGTAAAACGGTTTACTCAACTCTAGAGCTGCTATCGAAAACAGCAACATCCATTTGCTGTTGCCATGGAAACAGCACAGCGCCTTTGAAAACTCGACCTTCTGCAATTTTCCCCCCTTCAAGGTGTCAGATTTTGTTGTTAGATATCTCATCTATGACTTCAGAAGTGTTCAAGGATCCATATTTAGCAGTTTCCGTATGCGTATTACTCTAGACGAGCAGTAACATCTTGTTGCAACTTCAGAACATTGTAGGTTGCTAATATAAAATTTGGTATGAAACAGAAGAGCGACTGGTCTTGAAATGGACTGAGTTTCATAATCATATCAAGTCAAACATTTCTAAACTGTAATGCTTAGAGAATATCACCTTCAAAGTTGACGTAAACAGCACAAAGTTGAAAAAAGAACGTTATATCTAAATAAAACAAGAAGTCCAAAACCTCTTTGCGGTGATAAAAATGAAAACAGCGCCGCAATCACGTACTGAGATTTTACAAAAAGTGAAACTAATAGCTATTTCTATGCAAAAATGATATGACCAAAATCATGGTTGTAGACTGTATGGCAGGTATATAGCTCATCTTCTATTATTCAGTTTTTCTCATTTTTATCCCCACCTTAGTCACCGAGTGCAAAAATCAATGCCCAACCTATTTGTAATGTTCGTTTTAATTCTCCTCGTGTGCAAGACATATTCTTCAGATCTCACAACCAGTTCGGCCAGCTGCCAAACATGACCTCGTCGGAAGCGGCGAAATGGATGTCAGCGCTTTCCGATGACCAAGCTGGTGTATATACATTCTCTAATTGCGTATGTCTTTCCGACATGTATGGAGATGGCGACACGAAATTGGTCATAGCCCATGTGGGCAGTTCAAAGTAGGTTGCATGCGCCATTTCCTTGTGTTGAGGGTCACTTCATGAAGAGACGATGAAGAATGAGAACTAGGCAGTAATGCTCAAAAAGCTTAAAATTGTTTAAAATAACCTTCATTCGAGATCGAGTAATTTTGGAGATTGTGAGCATTTCCACTTGATGGAAAAAGAAAAAAAGATGCATATTGACATGGGGGTTGACTTCCGCTGTTCGACACCGGTAAATCCAAGACATGCAAAGTTTTCTCCCTTTTTCAAGCTTCTTCTAGGAGACAAAGCTTTGTTCCATGCGATGACAAAACGAAACTTACAACAGAAAAGGCAAAGATAAATGATAAAAAGGATGAAAAGTCCAGAATAGTAATAGAGGGATTACGATAGTCATACGATAGACCACATAATCGCATGTGTTCAAAAAAAGACTTATAACTAGCAACAAAGTCTTCGTAGTGAACGTAATCGAGCTCGCAATTGCCAGTGTGGCTCCCAGAAGCTGAGGAGGGCTCTGCAAGAAACAGACTATGATAATGACGTTACTTTAAAGTGAGATTACGGTACTTACGCTGTAGCTGTGCGGTAGAAGTTTTGCTTTACAGTATGCTTCAAGTTTTGATTTTAAAGGCAGCGGCTAGGCAGATGATATCCATGAGATATTCATCGTTCTCAGTCTACCTGGATGAGCTAAGTCCAAGACTGTGCTTTGCAGGTTCAAAGATATATATTAATAAATATCCCGCTTTTCCAAATGTGAAAAATGCTATTTGGGCAGACCGCGTATGCCTGCCCTCTAGAGCGCGGTTGGCTCGTGAGTGGAGATACCCCCCTCCGTACCCACGAGCCAATCGCGCTTTAGAAAGCAGGCATACGCGGGCCCAGCACTTTTCACGTCTGGAAAAGCGGGTTACTGATATCTTTTGAAGCTGCAAAGCACAGTCTTGGACTTGGCTCATCCAGGTAGACTGAGAACGATGAATATCCCAAAGTTGCCATTCTGCCGAGCCGCTACATTTAAGGGGAGCAGATGAATATTTTTGTGCATTACGATTACCACACACAAGCGATTCTCAAAGAAACTATGTTAAAAGCAGCGTCCAAGAGCAAATCTGGACTGGGCTCTCACGTGGATAGTAATTTTGGGGCCCTAACTAAGCCACTGCCCAACCGGCAGCTTAGGTTCTACACTAACGGGTGAGATTTCCGCTTCGAAACTGAAGCCAGGGATCGCATTTCGCATGGATTCATGGCGCAACCCACCAAATTCGCGCGAGGACCCATGGGTTGCGCCATGAATCCATGCGAAATACGATCTGGGGTTCAGTTTCGAGGCGAATATCTCAGCCTTAGAGCACTATCTGACCTGCCCATGGGCAGTGGCTTGTTAGGGCCCCAAAATTACGATGCACGTGAGAGCCCCATATGTCAGATTTGCCTGGACGCTGCGTTCAGAGACTACTACTTTGAAAGTATGGATTACTTTCTTGATGAATGCAAAAAGTTTTTGTAAAATGAATTTCAGATTTAACATGCGCTTGAAAGTTTTCAAGGGACTCACTGTGGTAGGAGAAAGTGCCATAGCAGATATGCCTACTGCAGTTGTTTCCTTCTACAATGAAAAGGTGAGGAGTAAGGACTCAGTAAAAGTTTTTTTGCGGATATCCATCTAGAGAATACCCTCGCATTGGTATATAAGCTTCAAGCACGGAATTTCAGATTACGCTTCCTGCACTTGGAATAGCATCTGGGTCATATATCAGAATTTACAAAAATCTAAAGCCATTCTACCAGGTTTGTTCAGATAGTATTATAATCAGTCATCATTAAAGCTTTTTTACAGTATAACATACCATCAGCTCCTATAAACGAAGTTGAACGAGAGGCCTGGGCGAACACCTGCATAAAGCAGATCACACACGAACAGCTCTTCACTGTTATACAAAGTCTTGCCAACGAGGTTGGTCATTTTTGGGATAAATATTGAAAATAGGACCACCAAGAGCTTCAGATAACACCCAAGCAGTTGACGCCTATGTCCCAAACGCTACTGGTGGTGAAACCCGAAGAACGCTCTTCATTCATTGACTATTATGCTGTTCCCAAATTCGTCAACAACCTACAAAACCCGGTAAGTTCACGATTTGATCGAAAACTTATGGTAAAGAAAAAACCTCGCAAGGTTAGTAAGTCCACCCACGCAGGTATGTTATGATGCATGATTTGTACCAGATGTCCGCGGCGAACCCATTTTATATTTCCCTGACGAGATTTCCACTTGAACAGGCCGTTTCGTAGACATTGAGACTTACTATAAACATAATTGCAGCCGAATTTTGAACTTCTACCGCGCCTTTGAGTATACCCTAAAATCCGTCATATAAGAGCGGACTTATCTGCAGTTTTGGCAGGAAAATCGATGGAAAAACGCCGCAAAGGATGTCACAGATAAGTCCGCCTAAATCGTCTCGCAGATACGTCCGTCTGTCCTGAGCATGAGCAAGCGCGACCTAGGAGCACAGACGCGCGCGACCGCTCGCGTGGCTTGCCAGTGTAGATTTAAACGAGGCCGCGATATCGCCTGAAAGAAAGAGCTCAAGGATTCGACAAGTCGTACAGTCTACTTGGTGGTCGTATCGGATTCTTCATCGCGTACGCTGGATAGGTGAGTTCTTTTCCTATATATGACACCTGTATGAAATTGAGCGATTTCTGCCGATGAAAAGAATCATAATAGGTTTCATCATTGCATCATTGCAATCATCTCAACTTATCATTCATCTTATCGTTTTGGAGGCGACAATGTTTTCACTACATCTCTCGAACCCGTACAGGCTACAACCCTTGAACCTGACTCCTACACTTTTGCTTCCTCTATTGTTTTCATGTTCTGAATGTAGTCTCTGTTGACCCATGCCATACGGCTTTTGTCAAATGCTTTCTTGAACGGAAGAGTGACAGTCTGAGAATGCTCAACCTTAGCAAAGCATTAGGCTTCCTTGTTATTTTCCTCAATTGTTGTTTCATTAAGCCTGTACATCCAAGACAAAAGATAGTGTAGTCAAATTTGATGCCGCCTGCTTTTCCTTGTATAAAAGAGTAAACCTTTCGATGACCAGCGCAAATTTATAGGACTCCGCGTGATTCCAGTGTGCAATGACCGGTAACTCAGCGAAGTTCACAATCACGCGGGGCCCTATATTTCCAGCATAGTCTCACATGCTTTGACTTAAGCTTTTCAGGTGTCTCGCATCTCAATGGCTATCAGAAGGAAGTCCTACACCGCGCTTTTTAAGCTTAACGTGGTGCAATATGCCTTGGAACATGGAACATCGGCTGCCGCTGTTCACTACGAAGTCTCTGATCGTCTGATTCGAAGATGGAAGGCCGATAAGGAGAATTTGGAGGATATGCCACTGAGGAAACGCGCCAACCGTTATGGGAAGCAAAAGGTAGAGGAGATCGAGAAAGCTGTCTATGCATGGATTGTGCAGAGGCGGGAAGCAAGCAGAGCAGTGCTTGTCGAGGACATTCGAGCGAAGGCATTGCAGCTAGCGCAGGAATCTGGCCGGCAGTACTTCAAGGCAACGGAATCGTGGTGCAAACGGTTTATGATGAAAAGGAACTTAGTCATTAGAAGAAGAACCACCATCGGTCAGCCACGTTTTGATGATGATAAACATGGAATGGAAACTGAATAAAGATTGTTGCTTCGGTTCATTCTGAGACCAAAAATGGCAGCGCAATTGCGCATCCTTCTTGTTTTTATGTGAAAAAATAAGGCGGACTTATCCGCGGGACTTGGCGGCGCGCGAGGCGCGCGAGGCTGTCACGAAAGCGGACTTAACTGAGAGCTCTTTTGCGGTCTTATCGGCGAGGCGGTCTTTACTGCGAGCCGATCTTATATGACGGATTTTAGGGTAATTTGAATTTGCGATTGGGCAAAATTGTCCTGCAAAAAAAGTTGAAGTTATCTCGAGGCTTTCAAATGAAACATTGTTCCTATAGATTAAGTCCCTTCCCTATATTCAGTAAAGATTATTGATGATTTTTGAGGCAACGATTACCTGTCTCGCTTCCATGACCAAGTCAGCAATGGACAGCATAGACGTGCTCGTGCTTGGAACTGAACAAGGCACGATCAGAGTCGTCGATTCGCAAGCTTTCCAGAACATAGCTGAATGCCAAATCCCTGGGATTCCTGTACAGATTGTGTGCTATGGTAGGAAAAGTTTTAGATATCCATTTTTCTTTATTCATTACAGATTTATAAATCTTTGATTTGCGAATGTCAAAGTACTCTAAAATTTACAGATTATACATTTGACTAGTCATTTTTCCTTTGCTATGCATAACTGTTAATCAGAAAGATTTGTGCAGGAGGAGATCGTAGAGATCGGCTTTCAAAAAAATTTTTTTGGAGGGGCGTTGAAATTAACGAATCCTATACCGGATTTTTTGAATCCTTTTTATGGTGATGGTGGTCAACAAATTTCCGGCATCTTTTCTCTGAAGTTTTGATCCATTTTCCCAGCAAGCTGAGTAGCAGAAAAACTTCTATAGTGGTCACCCAGATACTCTTCTTATGATAGGAGTCTTCGATGTTGACTACCGCCTCTTTGTCAGTACCAGGGATGGCAGCATCTTTTCAATAAAAAGAGATCAAACAAAAAAGGAGAAACCAATCATATCATGCAAGACAGATATCGTCAGTTTTGCGCGAGTTAACAAAATGGTGAGTAAAATGTCTCAAGATGGCGGGGCATAATGTCTTGCACACAGCTGGCAGTGGCTACTTCGGACAACACGCTTCATTTCTACTCATTCTCTGGTAAATGCATGAACACAGTCAACATCGGAGAGCCAATCAAAGGACTCGAGCTTTTCCACTACGCGCCGAAGCAGTTTGAGGGTGTACTCGTGCTTTTGGAGAATCAGGTGAATTCACTTATTCTTCTGTCGATACAAGATGACCTCTCATGCCATTCATATATTTTCCCTTGTAGGTCCGCTTGTACACCCATCTCCATCTTCTTGATATTGTTAAAATAGACAAACCCTTATCGTGGATGAAATTTGGCCAGTTTGGAAGAGAGGAAGGGGCATTGGTTTTAGGAACGAGAGGTGGGCCATTCGTACTTACACTATCAGCGCGCAAGTGCCCGAATGCGTCATTTTATAACATTTAGAATTTTGTGAAATACTTGCTGCTTAAAGCCTCACACTTGTTTATATGTGTTGAGCAAGAAGTAATATAAAATTTTAATCACTTGAAATTTGCTATTTTGAAGACAAAAGTGACTTTCATAAGTTTAAACCCTGGTTACGAAGTAGGTTGTGCAAACTGCTCTCTAAAATGTCAAGTAGGAATTTCGATAAAATTTTCAAACGCTTGGAATTTGTTGTAAGCCCTTTTGCACATGTATCGCGCGCGGGCGTTTTGCTTATTAATAGATGCCGTATGCCACTACCACCTCGTGGGTTTACTGCAGTGGCGTACCCAGGATTTCGGCTCGGGGGGGGCGCGACGAAAAATTTTTTCTAAAGAAGGTGCGTGGCGTTAGCCACGCACTCCGAAAAAATTTTGGGGGTGCTTCTCAAAATTTTTGCGGGTCCCCGACCCCTAAAACCTGGAAAAAGGGGGCGTGGCGTCAGCCACGCCCCCGAAAAAAATTTTTTTACAAGGCTAATTTGAATTTTTAAAAATTTTTCAAAATTATTTTAATTATTTACAAAAATAAACAAATCACTTGCACATTTTTATAACCCATATAAGTGACTTTCAAAAATTTCGCGACCCATTCTCGGGGGGGGGCGCGCGCCCCCCCCGCCCCCCCCCCTCGGTACGCCACTGGTTTACTGTAAGCGGCGCCACACAAATACTAATGAAAGAATGCTCTTTACGCTCATCTTCAGCTCAGGACGTCATCCGGTAGGGCGCAAGGGGTGTAGACAGTTTCGCAGGGTAGGGGAACGAAGGCCGCCAGTTTGAGCCGCCTCTCGCGGCCAACTGGTCCTTTTGCAATGTTGTTGCAGCTCGTTCCAGGACCAGTAATATGCGGAGACGGCCCAAGCTGGCGGCCTTTGATCCCCTACCCGTTTCGCACAACCGGGATCTGTCAGGGCATTTTTGTACAGGACCGGTGGCGCGCGAAACACCCTGCGCCGGCTTTCTAAGCAGATACAGGGAAAGGAGTTTGCCCTAGTCAAGTGGCAAGCCTACCAGATAATCTTTATCTTTATTTTTATATATGCACTCATGGTGCGCCAAAACAACTCGACAACATATACTCAGTAATGAAAGAAAATGTCCCTGTCACACTTCCACATTCCAACCTAAGTACACAGGTTAAGTATAAAGACCGCAGAGATCCGCTTGAATCAAGAAGAAGGTTTCGTACTTTCTGCATCAATACAGATGCTTAGCATTGGAGAATGCTACCGCCCTAAGAATAAGTTGAACTTCGAGGGCGTCCAAGGCCAGCCTGGTTCATGTTAGGTATCCACCAACCTGACAAACCAGTCTTAGATACACCTGTATTTGGATCAAGCAAAAGCTGAATGTCAAAAGCGACTAAGTTCTTGGAGTGGGAACCAAAAGAAGAAGGGGTGGAAGTATGACAGGTCTGTCAGGAAAAGGATCAAAAGGTTAGTAATAAGAAAAAAAACACTAAATATTCAGCAACATGCACTGAGATGGTGATGAAAGCGCGTTAGTAAGAAACTAAAACAGAAAGACAGAATGATGCCAAATAGAATGAAGAGCACCGAAAAAGAAAGAAAAAAATTCAAAGCCATAATTGAGCAGCCATAACTGAACCTGCAAGTCAATGCAAGACCAACGAGCACCTGAGAGGTACAATGGAGAAGAAAGCTGATAAAAAACAAAGCCCAAAGCGATTCCATCCGCCACCATAGCACGTCCAAAGCATCCAAATGGAAGCTCAAAAGGTCTTATGCAGAAGGCTCGCACTTTCATGCAACACTAATCAGTGTTAGCGATACCACACAAGTCAAGCCTTTTCAGTCTACTCCTGAATAAATATTCTGTTCTATTCTCTGCACAATGTCATGTCAAACGGCCTTTTCAAAGCTACGGTGATATGGTGGAGTCTAGTGCCGAAAGGCTCTCATAGGCCCCGGACAGACTTCACGCGACTTAATCGTCGCGATTTGATCGCCAAGATTTCCATTCATTTTCATTTCACATTCAAAAATTTCGGGCTGGAAAAGTATCACAACCGAATGCAAGTTGATCTGCATGGAATGATGTTGTAACAGTTGTCTCGTCGCGATTCAGTCGCGATGATCAAATCGCGTGAAGTCTGCCCGGGGCCATAGACCGCTAAATAAAATTTTCAGCGGACAATCGCGATGTTATCACATGAGCTTTTTGCAAACTCCATGTCTGAAGGAAATTTCAGGTCTAATTTTTGAATCAGTTTTCCATTTTCAGATGGTGGTCTCCTCGTAAAGCTTTTCCGCCGCAAAGCATCGTTGGATGAACGGCTTGATATTGCAGCTCCTCCAAAAGCTTATAATATCAAGCTGAACATCCCCAAGAAAAGCAAAATATTTATCGATCAGACTGTTCGTGAACGAGACAACGTTAACCAGATCCACCAGGTAGGCACTTTCTTTATCGTCCTTACCACAAATTGGCCGCTTTCAGACATATCAACGCGATTTATTCCTCATCAAATATCATGCTACAAAAGCGTTCGCAGCTATGGCATCCACATCAACAGCTTCGATTTCTACTGATCCGAAACATGCGGTAGACATCGCTGTTACCGTAAATGGATTTGGACCAAAGTTTCGATTAACGGTGAAATTGAGCTGCGCAATGTAAGTCGCTCAATAGATACCGCTCTTTCGAACGCTTTGTTTAAGGAAAGTGCCACTCTATAGCCTGTGGCTGTCAATGGTATACTCACCAAAAATCTACAACTTTGAAGAGACGTTGATTCCGATTTCCATCCTCATGCCAGGACATTTCTACACCTTCACTACATTGGTTGAGTGTATCGAACCTGAAAAGGTAACCATAACTTCAATCGTCAAATATGAATTTTTATTGAAACAACGAAATGTAGAAAAGCAGAAAAGATAACGCTGCCTGGCCAACCCTAAATTCAAAGAAGGTATAATGTAGCAAAAGTTCTTGCGTTCATCCTTCAGATAAGAATTTTCTCCTTTCAAGGCTATGTCAGAACTTGCTGCAGACAAATTTGCTCATAAAACTATCATTTTATAAAGATGCCTAGACCTTGTTCCTTCCATTAGATGGCTTGTTTCTTCGCCCTTGAACTCAAAAGACGAACCTGCAAGCAGTGAGACTGTCCATGCAAATTTGTTTTCCCAATCGAACACTACTCGCAGATCAAACACTTACAAAGTTACTTTTTCAGGGCATTTCGGAGGACATTCGCGTGCTTCTAGTCAAACAGGACAAGTCAACGCCAATTGTCACAGCCATTGTTACAATGCCTACTAGTGAAATGAGCTTGTTAGATTGAATAATAAAGTTCTTTTACCAGTGCTCCAAGAAAAGGTTTTCTCCAAAAGCGAGATTGAAAAAAATCCCAGACGGTGCCCACGTATCAAATACATCGCCCGGGCAGAATTGGGTTGCCCCTGGAATGTCGATAGGTTTGATAGGTCCCTCGACTAAACAAAACGTCGGGTATGCTTGATAAATGCGACTTTTGGGGCTTTTATTGTCTGAAAGCGCCTTTCCTAGTGCCGTTCTACCATCACATATGTTCAGATGAATTTTGAGGATCTGCATCGTCTGCGTACATCTCACAGGCTTAGCCTCGGAGCACTAGTTCGCGCTTGCTGTGTGCTGCAATTGTTTTTGCTATGGATCTTCAAGATAGTATCATTACTTAACAACAAAGCGCTAAGCGTCTGTCTGTTTGTCTGTCTGTGTGTATATCTGTCTGTCACGAAATTCATAGAGCGTGTTGTAGTCAAGGACTTGAGCTGAAATTTTGGTCATGGCACCCTACCAGCATGTAGGTAAATATTGCAAAAGCACACGCCGATCCGATAATTGGAACCTTCAGAAACTGGGCGTCAAACGGGTCCACGCGACTTTTGACCGGCCAATGTGGGTCGATGATTGTACTTTTTGAGAAGTTGTGGATTTGCTTAACAAGTAAATGTGCAGACCATAGGCTTAAGTCCAGAAAGTAAGCAAAATATCTATTTTTACGCAAAATCAGCGCCAAAAAAGAGTGTTTGCGTAGATCATCAATTTGTCAAGGTTTCATTGTAATTTTTTGCGCAGATTTCTGCTCAGAAATGTAGGGGACAAAAGTAACCATCTTTTGTAAAAACTAATCGGCAATAGTAACTTCAGTAACTGGCCGACATTCTCTTTTGATCTTCTACGCAAAAACTTTCTCTTCCCAGTTTACCGCTCCTACATGGAAAAGCTCATAAAATGAGTAATTGTTTACAATTCGTTCATGATGGTCAGCATCGCATAGTGAGTTTCAAAGTGACATCATGCGAGCAAGAGGAATGCATACAGATAGAGGGCCAGTGCGAGCCTCTGCGAAGCAGAGGTGAAGCACTGGTATTACGATAAGCGGCTATTCAATACAAGGGCTTTCCGTAAATTTCGCACGATTAGCACTTTTTAAAATCGGAGCCATGAACATGCCTAGGAATGCCTGGACATGTGCCCAGGAATGCCTGGACATGGAGGCCGAGAGTCCTGAACGCTGTTCAAAGCAGATTCTTTCTTCTCTCTCCTCTACAATGTTCAAGTGCAAAAAGTGCATGAAAGCGCACCTTCTCGTTGACCTTGAAACTTTCACAGCAAACAGTCTATCCGTTGCAAGGAAAGTATGATTGTTGCAGACTGCGAAACGATCAATCATTATGCAGCGAAGTTTTCCGCATGCTAGCAGAAAAAAAGTGCAGGTCCTTTTGCTGTACTCCGCATCAGAAAACACAAAACAATAACAGCTGTAACTAATTTTTCTTTCTCATTATAGCGGACGGTTATCGTTTTCTGACGCGGAGTACAGCAAAAGTAAAGGATTTGCACTTCTTTGCGGACCCACAGGATAGTATTTTACGATAAGCGGCTACTGTAGAGAGGTCTGCGCATCAAACTTCTCATGAAAAAAATCGATAACCTTCTCACAATTTTATTGAAAGCGAGAAGAGGGCGTGGGTCGAAATTCGCAACAATCTGATTAGTAGGTATTCGCCTGAAGAAGTCCACCGATAATACAATGACAATTTTACGGTCAAAGGCTAGCCTCTGACGAAGGCAGATGCCGGCCCATAAGCGCGCGAGAACGCGGCTCGTCGCGTTGTTGGCGTGCTCAACATGCTCGACCACAAACGCGCCTACTTCGCGACAATAGACCATTGACCTTTCTCCTGAGATAGCTCTTCTTCCCACTACAAAATCAAACCGCCGAAGGCTATGGCCGGAGAAACAACTTGGCACTGAATGTTAGCTGATTACGATTTCCTACTTGATCCTCATACATTGGTCACCAAGCAGTCCGCAAAACGTTAGCGACCGCTGTTCTGGTAAACAGCGCCTTTGCTTGCCTTCACAGATAGTTATCGCGCACGACAATAGGAGTATTCCTGGAGTGGCGCCGTTAGCCAAGGGTGCAGATTTCAGGTCTTCCCAAACGTGCTGACCTTGGCAAAGTTTTGATTCTAGCAAGGTCATGCGCCTGAACAGTCCTTAAAAGGACAAGATCCAAATACTGTTCAACTAGAGCTGGAGGGCGGCCTCACGCAATGTTCTTCGTGGGAATCGCTTCGACAGTGGCATTGCTCACCACGTTGGGTTGCCTCGTTACTATCGCTATTATTGTGAACGATATTAATGATCTCAGAGATAATGTTCTTACTACCATGGATGAATTTAAGGTGGGTTGGCATAAATGCAGCTGATTTTGAAAGTTTTCTTTTCTTAGATTGTGGCTGACAGCACTTGGGATAATATTATCGCTCTTCACCTAAACCCCACTGGAGAAGAAAGTGCACCAGCCACGTTTGCGACCTTATTTGGTCGCCGAAAGAAAGACACTGGTTTTCCTGAAAGCTGCAATTGTGGACCAGTGGGAAGAAACTGCCCGCCTGGACCGCCTGGACCTCCAGGAAAGGATGGACTACCTGGATTGGATGGTATACCTGGGAAGCTTGGGCGTCCTGGAGTCAAGGTAACTTGAAGCGGAGCTGAACGAAGGTATTATCTTGCGTGTTTCAGGGAGTAGCCCTTAGCGTCACTCATGATACTCCCGGAGGATGCGTCATATGCCCTCCTGGACCCCCGGGTCCACCTGGCCCCAGAGGACCATTAGGCCCTCGAGGACCAGAAGGACATCCTGGGCCATGCGGTCCGCCTGGAGATGTAGGCGACAAAGGAGAAGATGGACCGCCTGGGGAACCCGGACTTGCTGGCGAACCTGGCGTACCAGGAAAGGATGGTTACCCAGGAGCTGATGGATGTCGTGGTTTACCGGGAGAACCTGGACCGCAAGGAGACGTGGGTCCTCGCGGTTATCCTGGGCGAGAAGGAAAGCCAGGACCAAGAGGAGAAGATGGAGCACAAGGTCCCCAAGGACCCCCTGGACCTGCTGGTAAACCTGGCAGGGAAGGATATTCCGGTCCAAATGGAGGAGTAAGTTTTCTGCATGCTTTAAGAAATTGTTAGTGCCTTGTTTTGTATTTCAGCCTGGAGATATGGGTTCTCCTGGGCGCGATCAAAACTACTGTCCGTGTCCTCCAAGAAAATCAGATAATTAGCAGGTAAACTTCGAAAAGTTTTCCGAAGTATTACAGAATAGTTTTAAATGGAGTTTATCACTTTCTATGGTTCACCATTTAGTGAATCACTATGTATGGCTCAATACTTTAGCAAAACAACTTCGTATATAACTTCGAGATTTCTGAGAGTATTTACACAACTTACATGTGCAAAGCACTTCTTGTTCATCCATATTTTGTTTGTTATTCAGTTTTGGGAATTCCAATAAATCTATGAAAGTAGTGAAACGTATGGAACACCATATTGCCAGAGCTTGTACTTTAATCGTCGCGGTCGCTCTGTGACTGGAATCACACCATCATGTCGGTCAAGATGGCTTAAAAATTGTTTACTTCATTTTCATAATTGAACTTACATCAGTATTGTGTGAAAGGAAAGTCTGCGCATTGGATTCAAATGCATATTTATATACAAAGAATCGTTGGACCTATCAAAAAAGATGAGTTGCCTAAAACCATACGGCTCCTGAAGCGAACGCGCCTGCAAATCTAGCACTCTTAGATGTGTGAGGTTACCGTACCAATGTGTACCAATGCCAAATGTACTCGCGGCACGATCTCTCGCTAATTTACAGTCCATCGGAACGGGTCCAAACACATCGCCGGTGGCGGTCCGAAAAAATCTTGATCGGGGAGGGGTGTGGGAGGTACGTGACAGAATTATTTGTATAAAAGGGCGGGGCTACAGACGCGATCTCCGAAAACATTTCTGGGATGCTTCCCAGTCTTCTAGTTGTGCCTAAAACTCTGAAGTTTTCAAAAAATAAGAGTGTGTTACATGCAATATGTGCCATGGTCAGTGTGCCCAACCGGGATCAGGCCAAACCGTCGGCGTAAATTTGCGCGCTCGCAGCTAGCGGTTTGCGCTGCATATGCACGCTGTCGGAGAGAGCAAAAGGATTGAAGAGAGAGCAGAGAAACAGGCCGTGGGTGCGATCGCGAACCCTAGCGACGCGGACTCACGCCATGCCAATTTCGGGCTGGCTGGGATTGGGACAGACTGTACACTGCACATATTGCGCAATTTATATTGTGTTTTCTCGGCTAAATTGCATAATTTAATCTAATGACGCATCAAACGTCTTTTCTGAATCTTAATGCAGTTTTTGGAGGGGTAGATCTCCAATGCATTCGGCTTTTAGATTCTGAAGAAGGCGATATAGCTGAAGATATAGCCGAAACGTCAGTCAATAAAGAAGATACATCCAGATGTGTAGCTAAAGCATTTCTCAAAAGCAATTCCATAATGTCGAGATTGAGCGACGGCCGAGCTTATACGATTTGTAAATATTTTGAGGGACAATCACTAATGTTTCTCTCATGAGTAATTAGCAAAAGTAAAAGAGACCCTGGAAAAGCTTTTGGTAAGAGATAAGCGTCAATGGTCAAAGAGATTGGGATGGAGTACAAAAAATATGTGTGCGTGCAGACGCAGGTAGTAGTTCATAAAATTGTCCGATTATATGACTTTAAAGGCAGTGCCAGGACAAATCAATCCACGATTTTTTTTGCTTATGTGGGTCTAATCGCTATTCTGGATCCGAAAATCCATACTGGAGAGCGCGAAGACGACGAAAAAGGGGTCTAACGCAGTAGAGGAATTAGCAGATGGGTGGGGTCTTCCACACTCTACCAACTTCCGGAGCGATCTTCCCAATCCGCCTTGAAGTTACATTGCGCTTGACCGATGGCGAAGTTAGGGCGGTTAGCGGAAGCGACAGATCGCTCCGGAAGTTGGAGGAATGGCTTCGAAGACTGTAAGACCCGCCCACCTGCTCATCTCCTTCCTGTACTAGAGCCCTTTTCTGCCATTTTCGCGCTCTCCACTGTGCAGTTTCGGATGGAGCCTAACGATTAGGTCTATCTAAGCAAAAAAAATCCCAGAATCGACTTCTTGCCCGGATACTGTTTATAAGGCATGATAGTTTGGGGAAGGGGGACGCTGCGTCAACGAAAAGGCAGGTACCTGAACGAACCTTACTCACCAACTCATAGGCTGTGTGCAGGTCATGGCTCGGCACGAGCTGGAATCAGGGAAATTTTCAAAACAAAGTACCCTTTGATCTTAATTTCGTACGAAGTCCCATTTGACCCCAAACCCTAATTGCAAACGCAAAAACCCTTGAAATACGAAACGTAGAAAAAAAAAGTTTTGTCTTTTCGGCCACAAAAACGATATCCTTTTCGCTCATGTCCCAAAAACGGTAGCTTGACCAGGTACCAGGTGTGCCAAGTCCTGGTTCAGGTAAATTTGGACACATAGGTTTTTCGCCTGGAAACTGATGAGAGAGTCCCAACTAAGGCACTGCCTAAGCGGCAGCGCAAATGATTCATTCACAGTTGAGAATCCTTCCAGAACCCCTCCGCTCCTGCCGTGACCGTAACGTAAGAATCGACTGCTTACATTAACACTACGTTCGCGCTGGGACTCATCCTACATTCGCGGTTACGGTGACGGCGGGACGCGGAAGGTTTGGGGACGGATTTTTTAGCTGTTCATGAACCTTGCGCTGCCGCTTGGGCATTACCTTAGTTAAACTCTCTCATCAGTTTCCAGGCGAAAAACCCATGTGCCCAGATTTACCTGGACACTACCCTTTATGCTAGCTGTCCGCGCGAGCTGCGCCCATCGGCAATATTTCTACTCTACCCCGCCTTCTGTGCAGGTTATGGTAGCAAGTTCTCAACCAGGAGGACTAGCACTCGATTGGCGAAAAAAAGTGCCCAATATCTGTCTCCCTCTAGCATAGAGCTGCAACTTCTCAATATGTATGACTTCGCTTTGAGGCGCTGAAACCTCGAGACTGCCAGTGAAGTTGGTCAACCAATCATTCATTGGAAGTAGAAAAGCGCATCTCTTATTCAAGTAAATCATTATCAACTTTACTAAGGTTGATAACTACTAGCAAGTATATATAAAGGAGAGCCGAATGAGTTGGATTCATTTCACTACCGTGTTCCAATAAGAAGGTCAGGGCACTGGCTTCACTCTCGACTTGCCCTCACCAGTGCCAATTCAGATGGTCCATTACCTGCAACGTTCAAATGCTACGCTAGTCCGCTGGTATGAGAAGTTCTTCGTGGGGTCATTTCTCAACTCGACTTCCACCATTACTGTGTACCTCGCCTACATGTATTGTGGCATCTTCTTCGCTATTCTCATCTTCTGCATTTCGATGGTAATTCTTTGGAGACAAGCGGACAAGTGGAAAAAGTACACGGATCATATTTGTGCTGGATATCATTATTACAGCGTGAGTGAACCAGAGCGACTGGCTAACACCGAATAGAGAACTATGTCGCTGAAAGGGGAGGTTCTGAGCGGACATCTGCGACAATTACACACCTCCTGCATGTACAACAGTGCGCTTCTGTTGCAGATGTCCGCGAGAGAGTTACTTTTGGCGTTGTAGTCCTTCCACTCGCCGACAACGATCCTGACGAGCAAAATAGATTGTTTAGGGTCGTTCAAGGGTCCCTGCAAAATCAAGGCGGTCCAGAAGGTCTGAAAGGTCCAGACGCTCACATCGCTCATCGAGATCGCGGCGTTCTTCAAGATCACGCGGTTCAAGATCTCGACATTCCTCCAGATCCGGTCGTTCGCGAAGATCTTCGAGGCGTTCGGGACGATCCGGTAGAAGCCACAGATCATCTCGTTCGAGGAGGAGCAGACGTTCTTCGCATAGCTCACGGCGATAGATGTGTGCACACCATTTCACTTCCGATGACTTTCTTGACGATGCTCGATGGTACTGCGGTGTGCTAAATATAAAGTGTTCTTGTTAGCTGTGTTAATCTTGAAGCAACTATATAAAGCAAAAAAAATTGATTCAAATGTGAGTGATAGTGGTTGACAGGCCAACATCCGGCAAGTACGCTTGCAAATTATTCAGCTATCGGCTCCTGCTGTAAGCAGAGATGATTACCTGCTACAATCTAGTCAAATTCTTTTCTGGTACGGGACTGCATGAACTGCACACATTGCGTCAAGCCCGGACTTCGAAAGGGCACTGTCAAAGCACATTTAAACACATGAGAATCGCACGTGGAAACTCATTTCGAGGTCTTGACTAACAACAAGACGCTGTTATTTGACAGCGCAAATGATGCGCCCCCGGCTGTGATTCCCCAAGCCAGCACATTAGCCAGATGGGCGGGCTGAGCGCCGCTCTCCCTCCGCCTTTTGCTCCCCTAACTGCAAGGACGAGCTTACAGGTTACGCATTTACGCATTTACGTTGTGCGATATGTTGTGTGATATGTTGTCACATTTACGTTGTGTGATACATGTTTCCACGCTGCAGGCAATAATTAGCTTTAGAATACTCTCACGCTTTTCGAAAAGGGACTCTGAAAACCGGGGTTTCTGGGACTTTCTTACAATTTTCAGTTGAATTTGGGATCAGGGAAGGCGAATGGGCCGCCCCTGACTCCAAATCCGAACTGGAACGCCGAAAACAATCGAAACTGACACAGACACCGAATACATGGAAGTCGAAATTTTGCCTGGACTCTACCGAAGGCACTGTCCGGGCAAACCTGAAAACACCTAAATCCATTGCATTACCAAAATGGACTTCCCATGCAAGCCGTAGCCTGCCGTAGCCTGCAACTGCATCCAAAAGCGAGGTTCCCGCAGATTTCCTCCAAATTTGGGCGGAAAGAGGATCATATCGTTCTAAAATAGTGTTTCGACCTAGGGATCGCTCTACATCGTTCCTTTCGCAATGTCATTCTCGCACTCACGCTCACAGTTTGGAGAGAAAAATCAGATTCAACCAGTGCAATTGCATCCAAAAGCGAGATTTCCGGAAATTTTCTCAAAAATTGAACGTAAAGAGGATCATATCGTTCCAAAATAGGGTTTCGCCCTAAGGATCGCTGTACAGTTCCCTTTCGCAGTGTCATTCTCACACTCACGCTCACATTTTGGAGAGTCAAAAATCAAATTCAGTCAACGTAAATGCTCTCAAAAGTCATATTCTCGGAGATTTCCTCAAAATTTGATGAAAGGTGGAAGCTGACGCGAATGGGAAGAGCTTAAAAAACAAGAGCATAACGAAACTGAGATGGGATGTGAGCGGATCAATTAATGGTACGCTTTCATACCTAACCTTCGCAACGATTATCATTCCGCATAATTCCATGGCACGCGCTCGCGTATTTCAACACAACTACTGCAGCAGCAGAGCATACCCTGTGTGTCGTGGCCTCTCGTTTGCGCGCCTTTGCGTCCTCTTGGCCTCATGATTGCACCATCGCGTCAGTAAACAATGGGACCTCGTTTTGCGACTGGCGTCTACTCAGAACAGACGTCGGAGTCATACTACATGTGGGCGGACCAACCAAGCCGTCGAGTTTTTTGGGATCAGGTTTGTACAGGAGAAGATTTCGCATATTTCCACATACTTGGCGCGCTTGCGCATTTCGACACAACTACTGCAGCAGCAGAGCGCGTTCTGGGGTGTGTGACGTTTCGCACGACCGTAATGCTTTCCACACAGGACCACCGCCGCGCGCGACACACCCTGCGGCGGCTTTTGCCTAAGCAAAACACGGGGAGGAAAGATTTGCGGCGTGCATTACATGTTAAGACAAGTCAAAATCAGGGAGACGCTGGAGACCGCCCGTGCGAAAAGACCGTCTCCCCGCGTTCTGTGTGTTGTGCCCTCTTCACGCTAGACCTCTGCGTCCTCTTGGCCTCATGATTGCACCGTCGCGTTTCTAAACAATAAGGCCCCGATCTGCGTCTGGCGTCTACTCAAAACAGACGTCGGAGCCATACATGTGGGCGGACCAACCTAGCCATCGAGTTTTTTGGGATCGGGTTTATAATTTGAGAAGGTTTGGGCCTTATTGTTCCTCCCTAGTGTGAGATAATGAAAGCGAAAAATGGGACAGACAAACGAGATTTTGGCTTGCTTTGAAATCCATAGTTTGGATGTTATTTGGAGTGGGATTTCTAATGTAAGCAAAAAGGTAATAGTTTTCTGAATTAAGGCAAAAAGAAGTAGTTAACCCACTTCTGAAACAATGGTGACTTGTGCGAATATGACCATCTCACTTGTGGTCTAATATTTGAAAATCTCTTTCGCCAAAACTTGGCCCAATGGGTTATTTGATATGCAACTTATGAAAACGGTGCTCTTATGCTTATAGTGCTCTTATATTATGCTTACTGTGCGTATACTATCGGCAAGAGGAATGAACAAATGAACAAAAAATGATAACAGAAATAGTGATGCAACAACATTCGTCCATGAAACGGTGCCTTTGTCTGGATGTCGTAATGGTCGTCGCTGCACCGGAACGCGATTGAACACAGGGATCCTTCCTCTGGAGTGGCTGCTAAAAGGTGAAGTAGATAGGTCTAAACTAAAGTGCAGACCAATGAAAAGTGTTATCAAACTGATCTTTACTGGTATTGGTACTGGATGAAGTTCGTAAATTTCTCTCTTCTCATTGTTCTTATATGATCGTAACTCCTGAAGACGGCGTTCTTCACCGATATCATTGCATGCCTTTGCCAAAGGCAATCCTGGTAGTGGACCTGTGCGAAGGTCAGGCTCTCATCTGCAACAGCTGGTAGTACATCAGTGTCTTCCTCAAACTCGCGATATCCATCATTTTCGCTATTCATCTCGCCATTATTATGTTCGTCTGGCTTATCGTTTGCAGTGTGACTTGCTTTTTCTTCAGCGAATGAAAATCCGGCATGCAGTATGTGTCTGTGTAGAATCTTCCCAATGTTGCTGTGATTTTTTGTTGCAAATCTTTTTCTACCCCCTATTGCGAATTCTACCTCAATATCTGTAGCGAGCATTTCTAGCTCAAACATAAACATCTGAGCATTGCCAGATGTTCGAAAAAATCTTGAATGGCGGTCAGGCAAGAGGCAGCAAAGGCTCGCCGCTTCTGCTTATGGAAGTACTTGAGGAACTTCAGACTTCCTCGCGCCTCTAATTACTTCTTTGCACTTCTAATTATAGATGACCTATTCCAAATTGATCGTTGATTTCTCAAAACGTGGCAAGTTTTGAAATAGCTTTTATGTTTTAAATTCGTAGCAAGTAAAATAGATAACAAGTTCAAAAAGGACTCATAAATAGCCATTCAATGTCAAATAATTCTAAAGTATGAATTGGTCTATTCAGGGGGACGGAACTTAGGAACCCAAGCCTGATGGGGGACGGAACTTAGGAACCCGTGCCTAATTAGCTCGATTCGGGGAGTGCCTGCAGGTTACAGTCATGCTCGCTGGCTCCGATTACTCACTAGGACACAGCAACAATCTAAGCCCCGCCCCCTTGAGAGCCTGTTTGGAACCTAGCCAAGGAATGCTGAAAATCTCAATTGAATTTCAGGGCTGGCTCTAAGCCAAAAACCTTCAAAGTGATCGTACGAAGGTGAAATTAGGCTCAAACGAAAGAGAAAAACCGTGCCATCATCATAAATTATCTACTGAATTGAACTGATTGAACACAACATTTTCTTGGTTCAAAACTTTATTCAAGTGTTAAATTACTGAGAAATTATTCAAAAGTTTCAAAAAAAAATATTTGAGTGCTAAATCCGGGCAAAAGACCAGAATATCATTCGAGAAATGACAGTTCAAAAACTTTTAAGATTGATAGTTATTTAAATGCTGAAATAGGCGAAAGACTAGAAAATCAATTGCGAAACGACAGTTTATAAAATTCTCAAAAATAAAAGTTTGTTTGTGTGCGGAAGTCTGGGCAAAAGACTAGAATATTAAGGAATGAAAAATCAAGAACTTCTCAGAAGTAATAGTTTTTTTGAGTGCTGAATTTCGAGCAAAACACATCAAGAAATGCACTCAGTAGTTAAAACTACCACAGTTGCTACCAGAATCACCTGAGACTCCCATACAGGAGCAGAATCTGCCGATGAATAAAATTCTTGCAGCAGATGCTGCATGTGGGAATAAAAATAATCGTCGTAAGATATGGGAAGTTGCGATATGGTAGTAACGAATGGTTTTCACCTTTTATGCTACTATTTATAAGGAAATTTTCGCCTCAAATTGTTATTGCAACCTTGCCTTGCGCAGGTTGAGGTCATTGCTTCCAGCATATTAGCAGGATGTTCTTCGCACATCAGAATCGTCTGTGGTTGACAGACTCAGCAATATCATTAGTGAAGTTTTTGAATTCATTTCTTGATATTCTAGTCTTTTTCCCAGAATTCGGCACACAAACAAACCTTTATTTTTGAGAATTTTATAAACTTTCGTTTCCCGATTGGTTTTCTAGTCTTTCGCCTAAATTTCAGCATTTAAATAACTATCATTCTTGGGAAGATTTTGAGCTGTCATTTCTCTAATGTTATTCTAGTCTTTTGCTAGGATTTAGCACTCAAATAAAATTATTTTGAAAAACTTGACGGTTTTTTGAAATTTCTTTCAAATAATTTCTCAGTAATTTGACACTTAAATAAAGTTTTAAACCAAGAAAATGTTGTGTTCAATAAGTTTAAATCAGCAGATACTTTATGATGATGGCATGGTTATTCTCTTTCGTTTGAGCCTAATTTCACCTTCGTACGATCACTTTGAAGGTTTTTGGCTTAGAGCCAGCCCTGAAATTCAACTGAGATTTTCAGCATTCCTTGGCTAGGTTCCAAACAGGCTCTGGGGCGGGACTTAGATTGTTGCTATGTCCTAGTGAGTAATCAGAGACAGCGAGCATGACTGTAACCTGCAGGCACCCCCCGAATCGAGCTAATTAGGCTCGGGTTCCTAAGTTCCGTCCCCCATTAGACTCGGGTTCCTAAGTTACCGCACCCGTCTATTCAATCTTCAGACCAGAATCTCAAACATAAACATGTAAATCTTTCTCAGTTATTCCGATCGAAGACAAGAACCTTGAAGAATTATTGCACTCGTCCTTTATTCTGCATCAGAATCAGTTCCTTCTGTTGCGAATTTTGGAGTAAAATTTCCTGAACCCAATATCCAAATAAGTTCAAATCGATTATAGCTGAGATTGAAAGAAATTGCGAGAATCTCAAATTGATCCGGGGTGAGATACCTCCAAAAAGATTTTCGTTCAATTCTTCAACTTGTAAAGTATCAGAGGTGTGAAAAATGATTAGAGGCGCGAGGAATCTGGAGCTCCCCAAGCGCTTCCAGAGGCAAATGCGGTAAGCCTTTGCTGCCTCCTGCATGACGTCCAATCTTGAATAAAAAATAAAAAAAAATCTGCCATGGCTTGTCTCATCATTTTGGAGCTTTCCTTACTGTGCTTCCTCATGACATCATTTTTGATTCCATCTGGTTTTTGCCGGTTCTGACTTCCATGATGCATATTGGTAGTAGGCGCATGTGGTATAGGCAGAATTCCTGTCGTTCTTGTTCGTCATCCGGAAGAGTAATTTCCTCACCATACTGCTGGTATTTCTGCAATATGTCCGCGGGATTCTTGTACGTCTTCAGGTCCTTTATGATGAGTTGAAGAGTCGCATCACTTTGTTGTGGCTTCCACTGTCCTCCTTGGAAGCGGGGCATGATATCGGTCGTGTTTGGCCGATGCACCAAATGTATCGGTGATTCTTAGGCTTCATAGTAGCCTGAGGCGAAATAGCGCCCCTTGGTGTGTGTTATACAGAACCCATTAGCTGTAGAGCTTTATGAAGAGTCGACTAGCACACGTGGGTGCCGTGGTAGAATGCTGACATGAATAGGCGTTGCAAAGTTACTCGACAACATCTGGTCCATAAAGATACCTATATCACAGCAGGTCATGCTTATGGGTTGTTTCATACTGCCGCACTGACTGCAGCAGTCTGCACTGACCGCAGCAGACTGCAGCAGACTGCTGCAGTCAGTGCGGCAGTCTGAAACAACCCTATGCATGACCTTAACGGTACTCTGGCAACACACAATGAGGCTACAAAGAGAGGTGCCGATCATATCGGCACACTATGGTAGGCATCATTGTGCTAGTGTTTTGCAGGATGGGCCTATCCGACATTGCTAACGAATATCATGTTATCAGAATCACTTCAACAACGACCTCCTCTCCACCCCCCCCCCCCCCAGGTATGGCATGCCATACCCCGAGCTTGACCCTCACGATAATTCCTTTGCTTTCCATCCAAAGCAATTTTCAACTTGACATATACAGGGCCCCTAAATTGCAGAGTCGTTTGCACCAGCGGTCGCGCGACCGGGTCGCGCCCGGGCTTTTGCCGGCGCCGGCGCCATCGGTCGAGGCGGCGCCATTGATGCCCGGGCGCGACGCGCGCGACCGCTGGTGCAAACGACTCTGCAATTTAGGAGCCCTGTACCCATCTCGTGCCGGGCCCAATTATACATCCACTTGATCCACTTCGGTATTGTTCACAATTTGGCCAATAGCGAAGTGGAACAAGTTGATGAAGGGATTCAAGATCAAGTGAATCAAGAATGGTGCGCACCTCATTTATAAAAGTAAGTACTTGTTGCAAATATGCGCGGGGGACTTATCTTTCGGCCTCATATACTAGTCGTCTACCCTTGTTAAATCCGTACATGTCGTTATTTAATGGTTGTGCGAAACAAACTTCTTTGGTTGCGTATCATAAACAACGATGAAAAGCACATTACGACCGTGGTACGACCATCGTAGAAAACGGCGTGACCATATGTGTACGAGGCTTTCTCATACCAAGGGTTATACGAATTTCAAGCTTTCTCAAAATTCCGGATAATATACCCGAGATTTTCTTACAAACATGACTAGTGTTCTTCCGTCTGTGATAACTACGTACATTGCCCCGATAAGTAGTGTCATAAACCTACGGGAACAGCAGCGATTTCAGCGCTTAATACATTGAAGTGAATACAGACTTGTTGAGAATGCTATGCATTCCTCGTGCTTTTTCTGTGTCTTGAGAGCCAGATACGAGCGTGCCAAAACGATAGTGAAACGGCCTCGCACAGAAAGCGTTCGGAAAGTGAGACTATGAGACGATAAAAAAGAGCCAATGATGCTTTTTCTTGCCTTTCTTAGGGCTTGACGCACAGTCAAGACGATGGTCACGCTTTGTAGATATAAACGCTGAACAAAGAGATCTGTAGTCATTTCAGCCATGAGTAAAGTGATTATTATCGGCTCTGTAGCTACGTTGGCGTTTGTGATCGTTTCCCTCATCATCATGGGTCTTGTGCTTAAAGAGATATCAGAAGTACAGCTGGAAATGCAACTCGATATGGATGAGTTCAATGTGAGTCAATCAGTCATTGTGAGTATTATATTCAGAAAATTAATAAAAATCTTGACATAGGGAATCGCAGACGACGCATGGAGTCGCATACTATCCAAACGAATCACAACAGGAAAATCAGAAGCTGCGCCAAATTTTATCACGGTGGTCAAGCGACAACCACGTGCCGGAGGTTTCCCAGATCAGTGCAACTGTGGCGCCAGATCTGCGAAATGCCCTCCAGGCCCACCTGGGCCACCGGGACCCCCGGGACTGCCAGGAGAACCCGGCCCCGACGGTGAAGACGGTCGTCCTGGAGCTCCAGGCATAGCCCTCGCGATAACGCATGACATACCCGGGGGCTGCATCAGTTGTCCACCAGGACCAGCCGGACCGCGTGGACCGCCCGGTGAACAAGGACCTCCTGGACCTCCAGGACCGTTCGGGCACCGAGGTCCACCGGGTGCACCTGGACCACAAGGAGACCCTGGACCACCAGGAGAACAAGGGCCACCAGGACCGCAAGGAAGACCTGGCCCTCCGGGACCACCGGGAGAAGCAGGCACTCAATATACACCAGGAGCTCCAGGCAAACCTGGTCCTCAAGGTCCACGTGGACCTCCAGGAGAACCAGGAAAGCCTGGATGTCCCGGAAAGGATGGAGCTGTTGGACCACCTGGGCGTCCAGGCAGCCCGGGGAAAGATGGACGCCCCGGCAAAAATGGACAGCCTGGACCAGTAAGTGGATTGATTTGCAGCATTCGGTGTTTTCAACTTGCCGGTTTTTCTTCAGAAAGGAGAACCTGGTCGGCCAGGTCCGGATGGAGAGTACTGTGCTTGTCCGCCAAGAGCAAAGCGTCGTTCATAAATGGTATCGATCTTGTCCAGAAAGCAGTAAAAGTAAGAGTCAATCGCGATCTTGTATTCTACACCTTTCGAATACATGTATATCAGATGCACAGTTATGGTGTGACTGATTTATATTTCTAACGATAAGTCTGAGTTTCGAAGCATTAAGTTGTGGAAAAAAATTTTTTTTTTCGATTGTAGTTGCTGTTATCGGTAATTACAAAAGAAGGTCTTACACATCATTTTGAGATAAGTCAGCAGTAAAAGTAAGAGTCAGTGATTCCACTTCTTTGAGCCATAAGAGGAACCTGCAGAGAAGCCCTGTTTCTCAACTTTTTGTTTGGATGGGTGTAGTCCTAAAAGAATGTGCCTACTGTTTGATTGTTGATAACATTCTTGTAATGAAGTCTTTCGAAAAGCTTTAGGTACCATTTTGTAGAGTTGGCTTCAACTTACAAGGAAAGCGTGTTTAGTCGAAGTGGCTTTTGCAGATGAGACCCATACTGTTTCGAAGAGTATTGCACGATGATTCCAGATCTGCCTTCCTCGCCAAGTTCCCCTGAACGCCGAGTTATGACCATTTTTCAAGACGAAAAATGAATGCAGAACTGGAGTAAAATCGACCGTTACTCTAGCGCTCAGATAAAGCAATGTCAAGTATTAGCATAATAGACAAATTGTATCCATCATATAAACGGCTCTGATACTTGACACTGGACCATTTGAGCAAATTTGGACGAATGTGTTCCAGTTTGCGTTCAATTTCGGACTTGAAAAACGTCCATAACTCGGCGTCCAGAGGCGCTTGGCAGATTTGGAATCAACGCTCAATACTCTTCAAAACCACTGGGTCTCATCTGAGAAGGCCACTTCGACTAAACACGCTTCCCTTGTTAGATTTACGGTATGGAGCGGATTACCGACTGCTCTCCTTACTGGATTTAGTAAATTTGAAAAGGGTTTTTAGCCATGGAAGGCCATATTTTGCCCCAATAATGAAACAAGACAACCGAAAAATCTTCAAACTGGGTTAATTAGAGTTGCTAATTCTAAATGTGAATTTCGGAATTTATTATGCTTCAGTGAAAAGTTATACGAGGTAAGCAGTAGCGGCCGTTTTTTCAATGTTCCTGAAAAGTGCGGTAACACCATTCAAGAAACTTGGCAGTATTGTACATAGTTGAGTATTGAACTCAGCATCTATGAAAACCCTATTACACGAGTTTTCACATTTTTTTTTTGAAATTTTTTGCAACGGCAGCTTTTTCACGGGTGTATGTCAAGAGGCGCGATTTTTATTGCCAGACGAACAACAAACAGCACATAATAAGTGTTTTATAACATTCTAAAAGTATCTAAATTTCTGAGGGAGATATATTAGATAGCTGCATGGGTCCTCAATCTTGCTACCTTGGAATCAACTCGAAAAAGCAATTTTGAAGGTCAAAAACCCATGAAAATGCAGTTAAAAACAAGTTTTTGAATATTTCGGTCCGTTTTCCAGCAAAAGCCACCAAACTCAGCATTTGGTTATCTTAGACAGATAGTAACCCATTGCACTTCACGTGTTACTTTTTAAAACTCGCGTAGCGCTAAACTGGAGTTTTGAGTTGCTGACAGCGAAAGAAATCGCGCCTCTTGACCGTCTCCCCTTTTTCACAGTGACGTTAGATGCTTGAACTATCATAATCCCACAGTAATGAAGAGCGATCGGTGATTCGTTCTAAACTGTAAATCTAAGTTGAAGCCAGCTCTACGAAACGGTACCTAAGCTTAAAAGACTTCACTACAAGAGAGTTATCAACAATCAAACAGTACGCATTTTTTTGGGACATCCTTTTCCCAACGGATTTCGCACATCCAAAAGCATAACGACATTGTCCTTTTTATTTGTGCAGTTCCTCGTGAATAGAAGTGAACATCCAAAGATGTAGAAAGCCATTCCACTCTGTTATGCGGTGTTCAAGCAGTTCTATAATGGCGGATATAGTGACACCAGCTGAAACAAGCTCGATTTCTTTTGGAGATTTTTTTTTACAATGGAACCTGCGAGAATCGTTAAGCACCAATCGACTTCTTTCTTAATGCTTCCGCGTTCGGGTTCATTCGCATTGAAGAACAAACGTGATCGCTTTACGCTGGGTCACACTTTCGACGTTTGGTGTCTACCAGCGGTCATGCGAATTTTATCGAAAACACAAAAACTGCACTTGCGCTTGTATCAAATTACGCATCACTTTGCAAGCATTTTCTCTTTACGTCTGTCAAAAATCTTGTTTTTTTTTTCTTCGCAACCCATACTGAAGAAATTTATGTGAATTCTTTACTAAGCATCACGCCTCGCGCTTCTGTAGAAGACGGTATGAGAGGATAAAAACAATACACAAAAATATACAGGCCTGCTCAATTTTTGTAACAAAAACAAATCAAGGATGAATAGTCTTCGGTGGACATTTGCAATAACGAGCATCCACTCCATCCTGTCCGTCTCTACCATTTTCTCCTGGTTTTCCATCCTGTCCTCTTCTTCCTGGCCGACCAGGTAAACCAGGAGAGCCCGCAGCTCCACGTTTACCCTCCTCACCAGGGAATCCCGGTGCCCCAGGTTCTCCAGTGGGTCCTCTTGGACCTTGCTCGCCCTTCGGACCACGTTCGCCAGGCAGATACATTATGCCTTGTTTTCCGACCACTCCTGGAGGACCTGGATGTCCACGATGTCCCGTCGGTCCTTTTTCTCCTTCTTGTCCCTCCTTTCCAGGTACGCCGTTGTCACCGGGAGGGCCACGCATGCCGTGATTTCCAGGTATTCCAGGAGGCCCTTGTGGACCTTGACGGCCAGGAAGACCTGGTGGACCTTTGGGGCACTTTATACAACCAGAGTCTGTGCCAGAGTCAAAGCTAAAATATGGTCAAAATAAAGCCAGGAGTCCAAGGAATATTACACCTTTACCTGAACCCTACTGTATCATATACTTACAGGAATCTACCACCTGAAGGTCCGTCTCGGCCATCAGTTCCATTCAATCCGTCTCTTCCAGGTTGTCCTTGAGGACCTTGTGGTCCAGGAGGTCCAGGCGGACAATTTTCTGCCCTCTTTGCGCATTCTGAAAGCTTGCTGAGTCACATTCTCTACAAAAAAAAAACTCATTTTAGAACTACCACATCCGTCCATGTTCCTCTTTCTTCTGACGAATAAGTCCGAAATACTTCGACGCGGCTTAAGTATTGAAGACATGAGCAATTGCTCCTCCATCAGATTTGACCATGTGTCATCTGTGACCGCCTGAGGAATTTCTCATAAATGTTGGGAAAGTCGAATAAAACAGCGCCACCCACTTTGAATTCCAGCATGCCCTCTTCAATATTTTCTCGCAGTCCATTTATGTCATTCACAATCATTGCGATATATACGAAGCATCCTATTGTCGTAAATATGATGGCAGTAGCAGCAAATAACAACGTATTCGACATCGGCGAGAGGCTCTGTAGAGATGGAATATTAGAGCAGATCTTAAAAAATGAACAAGAAATTACCTGCTACTCCGAAGTCAAAACTCGGCAACACTTTCAAAACGGGATGAAGCAAATAAACCAATCTGTCTGAACCATACCTCATTTATACTACGAAGGCGGATCAACTGTTACCTGGCAAAAAACACTGAAAGCGAGATTAGCGCTGACATGCTCGATCCGTTATCAGACTGACTAACACCTGCTTTACGAGTTTCGACATCGCAACCGAGCAAGGGCAATTATTTCTTTTTCAGAACTATGTTTGCGGAGAACACTTCAGAAGGACTTAGTTGATTCACTAATGAACGGTGAGGAATTGGTGTACCTTCTGACAAGCAACTGATTTATTCTCTGATGATACAGAACAAAATTATATTCGACAAGAAGAACAAAAGACAAGTTTTCATAGCAACAGACATAAGAACGTGGCATTAAATCTCCGGAAATTTACCAATGAACGGTAATTTTTATTAATTCACTAATGAACGGTGAGGAATTGGTGTACCTTCTGACAAGCAACTGATTTATTCTCTGATGATACAGAACAAAATTATATTCGACAAGAAGAACAAAAGACAAGTTTTCATAGCAACAGACATAAGAACGTGGCATTAAATCTCCGGAAATTTACCAAAACCTAATATACCACATCTATTAATATTTTTGTCATGAACATGATAAGTTCCTATTCCTGAAATCCACGTGAACAAAATTGTTATCACTTACTGTGAAGAGGAAAAGACCTATTCATGGCATAGAAAAGAGATTAAAAACCAATCAAGCGTAGAGCTAACAGAAATATTCAACAAATTCTAGTTTACAGCGGTTGAAAGTTCAGCTCGACAAAAAAAACAGGATACATATTTTTTTTGTTTTTTTTTCCACGTTAACAGAAAAAGTAACAGACTTTGCTACGGGTAGTATGAGAATAGACTATTCTTTTAGGTTGGTCCGAAAGTTCGTTCGCACCATTTTCAAAAAATCATAACTTCCTTCCCTCACAATGATTTTGAGCGATTCAAATTTTATTAGAAAGCGTAAAGCATGTAGTTTTCAACGGTCCCCTGAAGACCTTTCAGCATGTTCAGATTGCAGAGATAAAAATGAAAGGACGAGAACATCCGAAATTCGGAATTTTTGAGAAAAAATTCTAAAAATCTAGAAACTGCGCGTTAAAATCCAGAAAAGCCATTATCCTAATTTATCTTATATTTGATTACTAAATGAGTTAAGTTTGTGCTGATCGAGCCCTTCCTTCAAAAGTTTTGAATTTTTGAAAAAAAATGCCGAAAAATCATTTTCCTAAGGATTCCTAAGATATCGATTTTTCGGCATTTTTTTTCCAAAAATTCATAACTTTTAAAAGAAGGGCTCGATCAGCACAAACTTAACTCAGTTAGTAATCAAATATAAGATAAATTAGGATAATGGCTTTTCTGGATTTTATCGCGCAGTTTCTAGATTTTTAGAATTTTTTCTCAAAAATTCCGAATTTCGGATGTTCTCGTCCTTTCATTTTTATCTCTACAATCTGAACATGCTGAAAGGTCATCAGGGGACCATTGAAAACTACATGCTTTACGCTTTCTAATAAAATTTGAATTACGCAAAATCATTGTGAGGGAAGGAAGTTATGATTTTTTGAAAATGGTGCGAACGAACTTTCGGACCAACCTAATATTTGGAGCATGATGCATTAGCAAATATACCTGACCCTGAGGTTAGTGAAAACCAACACCAACACAAATAACATTAGGATAACAATAAATTTACAGACCAGTGGCTTTTTCAATAATTTCAAAAGCCGAAAAGGTTGAACCCCTCATCCTTGTCATTTCCTTGCTCCTCAGATGCTCCAAAGTTGAACTGAAAACCACCATCATCGGCTCCATCACCATCCTGTGTAGGATTCCCGAAGTCGAAAGCAAATTCACCATCACCAGAGCCTGTTTTATTTGGCTTACAATCTATGTTAAGCATTTTGCTACTTGAGTTCTAACGTACCACTTGATGCAGCTCCTCCTTCAGCTGCAGCGCCAAAGATAGAGAAAGAGAAATCACCATCTGTAAAACTGGTCATAAGTATGTGTAGTGCTAGTGAGACGATTGACCTGGCGAAGCACGATTACGTCCACTTTTTGCTTTTTTCTCATTCGTGGTCTCCATCAGTGACAGAAAATCAGCGCCTGGGTCTGCAATAAAGGATTTGCGGAGGATTTTGGACACTGAGACTTGAAAATTACCATTGCTATTTGCGCTAATATTCAGAGCAGCAGTGGGATCAAAAACGTCTTTTTCAGGATCCTCGCTCAAACTAAATGGGATGTCTTCTTGGATGGGTGAAGATTCTCCGCCGACAAGCTGCATTTGTAAATTTCAGACAAAATCCCATAAAAGGAACTTCGACCCACTTCATTCGTAGACTTCCCAGTATCTTTCGCTTTCCGTGACGACGGAGTCTGCATATTGGCCGCTACTTTGTTATATTCGCTAGCTAAACATTTCCGAACAAATGATAATGAAATTCCAATCTTAATGAAGACAAGTTTATGAAATCAGATTTTTTTCTGGAGTTTACCTTGTCGTTGTGGAACAGGTGTGTTTGGCTGAGATCTCTGAGACGCACAAACACTTCCTTGGCTCATCCTTTGTGATCCTACTTCCTGTGTCAATATCTGAGAAGAACGGCTTTCTTGAGACATCCTTGCTTTTTCCATTGAAGGTGTTGGCGCATCTTGCGTAGCTACGAAACGGTCTCCAGCAACTTCTGCCACCTCAAAGAAACAATAAATTACCACAACAAAACAGATGAATGACAGTTGAATGTTTTGCTACATGGCTTTTCAAAGGCAGCGTCCACGCAAGTCTGGACACATTGGGGTCTCATGTGGATAGTAATTTTGGGGCCCTAACTAAGCCACTGCCCAACCGCAGCTCAGGTAGTGCCCTAACGGCTGATATATCCCCTTCGAAATTCCCGCCGATCGCATTTCGCATGGATTAATGGCGCAAAGAGTGGATCCTGGCGCGAAACTGCCATGAATCCATGCGAATCCGATCGCGGGGCCCAGTTTCGAGGGGAGTATCCAGCCGTTAGAGCAGTACCTGCGCTGCCGCTTGGGCAGTGCCTTAGTTAGGGCCCCAAAAGTCCCAGTTTCGAGGGGAGTATCCAGCCGTTAGAGCAGTACCTGCGCTGCCGCTTGGGCAGTGCCTTAGTTAGGGCCCCAAAAGTATTTTCCACGTAAAAATCCAGAGGATCCAAATCTGCCTGTACGCTGCCTTTGATCGATGCCATAGCGCAATTTCTGAGGTCTTGATTTATCTCCGGAATCATTAAATTTGCTGTAGGACGTTTGTTCCAATAACATCAAATATTGATTTCAGACTATGACGTCATCGGTCCACAGCCACGTCGAAGCTTGCCAAAACCAAAAATTATATTACTAACCTTATCAACATCCTCTTCCATGGTAACGCTGATGTTGCCTTCTTCCATGGTGACATTAGCTGAGTCGTCATCCGAAAAATCATCTCCGCCTTCCTTAAACTTCGCGATTTCTACAACCGCAGAGGAGCGGAGCATTCACATGCCGTATGCGGCGACATTTCATATGCTTTTCAGAGGGGAAAAATAATCAAGGCAGTAGTGCATCGAGGAGGACGGGGTATATATTCAAATGGATTTCTTAGATTTTCAGAGCTATTAGAAAACGTATACCATAAACTAGGCTGCCATACAGGCATGTCTGAAGGTGGCTGATATTTTCGCCTCAAATAATTTCACACTCAGGTGTACGTCAAGAGGCGCGATTATTGCCATATGGACATCAATCAGCGCATCATTAATACTTTTTGTTGTTCTAGGAGGAAATTAAATTTCCAAAAGGTATGTGTGATTGTCCCATGAGTTACTCGATCATATTATTCTGAAATAAATTCAAAACATAAGAGCTGGGGTTAAAAACCCGTGAAAATGAGACCAGGGCCCGATATATTTATAAACGTCAAAGTTTGTGCAAATCTTGACCCTATGTTTTTTTATAAATTCCTTTGCGGATGAACCCGTTGAGCTGAAACCTTGAAAACATATGTTTTCGGCCTCGGTAGATGGTTTTAAGCTACCCTTCGAAGCAATTCGTGGAATTCTTCTATCGGTTTAATGATTTCTGCCACCTTGCAAGGAAAGTGAACGCTTACCAGCCGCTAACAAACTGCTTGCACATTTTGGTGTGAACAATGCAGTGTAGTTCATTTCCACTTAATTAAAAGGTGCAGTCACTCCAATAAGACCAGGAAAGCCAGGTAGTACTACTATAATAAGCGCTGAGGCCGCCCATCTTATTATTTGTGTATATTTGTTTGTCAGGGACTTACGGGGGTCAAAAATAGTGTCAAAGGGGAAGTCGTAAGAAATGGCTTCAAAGGGGATATCGTTTTCAAGATTCTGAAATGCCACCTCCTGCCGGGCCCTGAATGAGACTAAAGGCCATTTTGTGAATATTTCAATCAACTTTTCATCGAACGCCATCAAACTTCAAGTGCTAGCTTCATATAATAAGAAAGTTAGAGCAGTTTGGTGGTGTTCTTGAAAGACTCTCTTAGCTCTAAACTAGACGAGACTACTAAACTGGTGGCCTTTGCAGGGATCGCGCCTTAACCGTCTCCCGAAGTTTCTCGAACGCGTGTATTCGGGCCAGGGCTCGGCACGAGGTGGCTTACAAGCAAGCTGGATATCGTTTTTAGGACGAAAAGCAAAGGGGGGTTTCGTTTTCGTGACCGAAGAGACACGCAAAATTGGCGATTCGGCGACGTTTTTTTTAGTCGACGTTTCGTTTTTTGGAGGGTTTTAGGGAATATGGTGGGGGGTCAAAGGGGACTTCGTAAAAATACCCAAAAGTCAAGGGGGACTTCTTTTTTTGCAAGTTCATCTAGCCACCTCGTGCCGAGCCCTGATTCGGGCAAACAGGACCTCCACTCTAATCTTCGGAGCGTAGCGCATTAGTTGTCAATAATTGCTACAAAAAGGGTGGCGCATGCCAAGGTGTCTAAAAGGCATAGGTTCAGAAGATAGGTTAAACAGTCCACTCAAATAGAAAGCAAAAAGTTAATCACCTGATTCTGTGCCCCTTCATTCTCATCCACCGTCTCATCCATATTTTCAGCATCAACTGGCATCTCGCAGTTTTGCTCATCATTGCTAATAACCTGAAGCTATATCGATGAGTAGAATCTGTGAATGATTTGAGCATAAATATTATTTGTAATGAGTCAGAGAACTTGCCTCGACATCCATTTCGGGCGAATCAGAGTTTGGCTCCCGACTGCACAACATTAAACATTCCTCACCGTCTCTCTCACCCGTATCACTGTCGCCCATCTGTGGCAGGACAAAATGTGATTCATTAGCTATAAGCTTTCAAACATCTCACATTCCCAGCAAATCCACTAGCAACAGATTCTGACTGCTGTTCCACATAATTTTTGACAGCTTCTGTACGAGCAGAAATCAGGTCTTGACTGCTAGCACGAGGAGGTTCAACAGCCGAAGAGTTGTGGGATTCACTAGTTGCCGATTCATCTTCTGCCATTTCATGTAATGTTGGAAGCTTTTTTGGCATTTCCATCGGCGCAATATCAGGTACCTGCACAAAAAACGTTAGTACAGAAGACGGTTTTGCATACTTTTGATGCTAACAGCTAGGTTGCGAACATCAGCATGTAGCCGTAGATAATTTGATTTAGTTGACTTCCCAAGCAATTTCATCCGCTATTTCACACGATCAGAAAAAACCTGGGAGGGATAAGCCTTATAATATGACAGCTAGAGCAAAGCTGTTTGTCAGCGTTCCCAGAACTTTTGGGGAGTAGGGAGGGGGAGGGAAAAAACGGTAGCACATAAACGATGAATGAAACTTGGCCCTAGCCCCCTCCCCCGTTTCGATCCTTGAAGCTAAAAACTTTTTCTACAAACATAATAAAAATTTTTGCAAATTTAATTCCTCTACTCATACAGGCAAGAATATCCCAACAGCACGATTTTATAATTAAGTTTTAAAATTTTCAAGATTTTGCGACCATTCTCAGATGAGGGGAGGGAGAAGAGCTAGGTGCAGTTCGCCACAAATTGCTTCGTCGTGGAACGGCAAAGTAACAGATGGTGTTGCTCCCGTTGCCTGCAGAGGCCAAGCGAAGTATTTACCCTAATTTAAAGTTCTGCTTGACGCGGCTCATTTCTTCCTGTATCAGTGCAGTTACTACATAAAAGTGCTATAAGAGCCTCACAAGCTCATCTTCAACATTCATCACATATCTTTGGAATGTAATGAGATATTGCCTGGCTATATGATAGTTCATTTCCATGTCATTAGCAAACTTGACAAAAATTCGGTACAAACAATTCTTCAGAATGTAAGAGGCAGTCATACATGCACTTCAGCTACTCAGCTGCTACATAATGATGCCAACCAGACACCTTTACAGCATAGAAAAGCATAATCACATTGATTGCATGGATACTATCTTTGTGCAGTTATTCACATGCGTACATTTGACTTCAAGTTTCAAAAAACATGGATCTCTCACCTTTGAAAAAGTGAAACTAGGTTTAGAAATCTGAGGCTGGATCAGAAACTTTGTGCAAACGCTTTGACAACATAGTGTATAGGTCGTTTGTAAAATCGTGACGACGGATTTGGCTGCGGTCTTTGCGTCATAAGAGCAGAAAACACTCATACAAAAAGACATCACCTCAGCTCTCAGCTCAGCTACTTCTATTGTCTAAATACTGTCATATGTATGCAAAAAAAAAACCATTCGAGTAGAGATGAAAACCAAAATGCGGCTTCCGTGAGGTGCGTGCGTTTCGCTGCGGTCGCGGCATCGTCACTATTTTTCGAATGCCCTATACCATGTATCGAGCATTTGTGCGTATCCTCTCTTTCAAAAAATCTTTCAGTTTCGGGCTCCTCGTAATAATTGTAACTTGATTAGGCCAGGAGTTAGCTCTTCCTCAGCGATAAGACTTATGCATTAAAAAAAAACATTTCTGTGTTTCAGGCGTACTTCCCAAAAGCAATCATTCGATAACACATTTTGATGAGCAGCTACACCGCAACGAAAAATTGAAGTTGATTCTCGTGAAAGATAAACTTGCCTTTCTCATCGATATATCTTGAGACATGAATGACGCATCAAACACATCAAATTCGCCAGATTTCTTACGTTTTTCAGCTTCCTCAGCCTCAAAGCATATTGTTGAAGTACTGCTACAAGGTAATGGCGTTTACCTTCAGCTCTGCATAGATTTTCTTTGCTTCTTTCAATTTTTCCTGCATTTCCATGGTGCGCAGAGTTATTTTTGCAAAGTTTACCATAAAAACCCGGAGCGGAGTAGCCGTTTGAAGCTCCACTACAAATTGCATGAGTTACGAATACAGTAGGCTCAGGCAGTACAGAGTTGCTCGTGTACAATGTCAGCGCCGTTTCAGTCCAAATGTCCACCTCAATAAGGGGCATGTCGCAGCTCCGGCAATACGCTGGAACGGCGCTGGCACGGGCAACTGTGAGCGCAGACTGCTCCAATTGACTAACATTCTTTCCTCAATCGACCTTCCGTTTCCTGGAGCTGAGCTTTCTCCATCTGTAATTCTTCCAGACGCTTGGCCAGCGCATTCACAGCATCTCGTTCCTATATTACGAACAAAATGAGGTAGTATAACATGAATACAGCGTTAATTTCAATAAAGTGCACTCCCGAACTGAAAAAAAGACGGATTTTCAGGTGTGTTTGGGTTACAAGTTACAATTCTTCCAACAATTTCTTTGAAGAAAGCTACCTAACTTAGCTCGGCCTTTTGGTAAAAGGCATATGTATTCTGAATCAGCTCTAAACTCTGATTCCAAATATGTATTCCTAGCTGCCACGCAGCATTCCGAAGTGAGTTATGGGCTTTTTCCTACGCAAAATTGGCATACTACTACACATGAGAACACGTAGATAAAAATCTGCAAGAAAAAGGTGCTGAGGTAACGAAATAGTACAAATCCAATCTTTTCTCACTAAAAAAACCTTAACGCAGGTGTATCAGCACTTATATGATGATGACGTGATGCCCGGGAGTCGATGAGCATGCCAATTTTGCGCAGGAAAAAGCCCATAACTCGCTTCGAAATGCTGCGTAGCAGCTAGGAATAGCATGTTTGAAACCAGCGTTTGAAGCTGATTCAGACCATATACGTCCCTTGCCAAAAGACCGAGCTAAGTCAGGTGGCTTCACTTGTTAGCATTTGCTAAATCGAACCTCAATAAAAGCTCTCATGGCACATCTTCCACTCACATTGTTCTGTTTAGCTATACGTGGCGACTGCTCCATCAGTCTGTTCAAACGATCTCTCTGTTCGCATGCAATTCTCAGGGATGACGTCCACGCCGCATTATTTCGCTCGGCCTGGAACTTGAACCTTGAGACAAACTTCCCATGACAGCGAAAAAATCGCCGATACTCGCATACAGAATTTTGGCGCATAATTTGTTTTTTGCTGACATTTTCCAGTTTTTTGATTAAATGTACATTATTTCTAGGACGGTAATTTGCAAAGAATCTTATGGAAGGCAATGACAGTGGAGTGAAAGGAGGGGGTGTCGCGCTCTAGGAATTACCTTGGAAATTTTTTGAGGAAGATTAACAAAACTTCAAAAGACCTTCCGTACCTGATGCTAGAAAAAAAAGCGGAAAACACGCTTACAAGCTAAATGGATTTCCGCCAAATTAAGCATCATCTTCGTTTCAGCAGAGAGGTGTGTGTTAAAATTGAGTGAGGCCTAGAGAAAAATAATCAGAGATGTATTAGAATGCTTGCTTGATGGGAAAATTTCCGCCGTGAGCATATTCATCTAGAAAAATTAAGTTCCGCCATTAGATATCCCAATCTCCGCATGTTTTATGCAATGCCGTTGGAAATTTGCGTTATCATAGTGAGAACAAGAAAATGCTACAAACTCATATTTGTCTTTACTGCAAAGAATGAAAGAATATTGATAAGAAAAGAGCAAAAACAAAGGAAGAAGAACTGATAGATAGAGTATGCTTTTATTTTTTAATATGTAATAATCTGCTTCAATTGCATTTGGATAGAGATGCAAGAATTTGAGTGAATAAATTGCCAGAAAGAGTGATTCAGGTTTGAGACCCTGCAATCTCGAATACAGTTACTTCCATAAGGATTTTGTCTTACTTTGTAGATTAATTCCAGGTGTGGCGCATGACGTCAGCCACGCACTCCGAAAAATTTAGGGGCGCTTCCAAAATTTTTGAGAGTCCCCAACCCTTAAAATTTGGAAAAAGGGGGCGTGGCGTCAGTCACGCCCCCGAAAAAAATTTTTTACAAGGCTAATTTGAATTTTTTGAAAATTATTAGGTTGGCACATAAGTAATGCAACTTTTTATATAACTTTTGTCTATTTGAACGAGCGCATTCATTTTTTGGCAATATAAGGAATATGACGTAAGCTTCTAATGCACACATTTTTGCCGAATTTTACCGTCTTATGTGGGGATTACGGTAGGTTTACGGTACTATGGGAAAAATTTTAGTATGCATCAGATTTTGCATCAGATTTGCCGTACTGCTAGATGGCTCAGCCAGTTACCACTTGAGGTCACTTCTTGCAGAAATTCGGCTGAATTTCGTAGAAAGTTGTCATCAATAGATGTACTGCAGGCTTTGAGAATACCTGATGTTTAGCACTCATAGTGTGATACACGGCATTTTGGCTTTTTTTTTTGTATTCAATAAGTTTTGGTCGATTTTTTGGGTTTTTTTGGTGTTTTTTTGGAACAACTACTGATAACGTGTTTTCTTGAACCTGGCAGAACAATTCGTGGAAAAATGCGCTTGACTTCGTCTTTGGTAACAACGGCCTCGCTTTGACGCCGTGTGTGGCCCTTGACGCGCAAATAGATGATTGATTCTGTCAGCTCTACGTGCCTTGTTTGGAGATTGAGCCATGCATGTCGAGTTCTTCCCAAGAGTCGGTCCACTGGTGATTCCCAGATCAAGGCTGTTGTTTTGCACATTAACTGCCTTCTCTCTTGTACTAATCTCTTGGAAACTTTTAGAATGACATCTCTGCTTGGAATAGTTGTTCAAGGAGATCGAAGAGACCAGTGAGCCCTCTTCCTTGAGGTCCCCCCTTCCCACTCGCCCAGGGTCTCTGACGGATTCGTCCGCCTAGAGTTAAGTTGGTCAGCCAAGCCCTGGTAATTTCCCGCTTCCTACCGCGTTTGGGTAAGGGAAAAGGACTTCGGAGGAGGTTCACTCACTTCTTGAAGAAGGAGAACGACCTGGTCCTTCCAGCAAGAGAATTGCGATAGACTCGACTGCTTGTGCTTTTGTTCACTACTTTTCATTTTTTGTTGCTTTTTGGAACACCTTTGTGTGTATTAAATATATAAATAAATAAATTTTGCTGAAACTTGGCCTATAGGGCTTATTTCACATGCTGTTTCACAAAAATGAGATCCGTTTCGCATGAAAAGGCCTCGTTTGTGAGATCAAAAAATGAATTTCATTTTAGCGACAAATAAATATGATATTCGTGTTTACCGCATAAGATTACCCTATAGTGCAAAGTTATAGCGATTTCTGACTTTTCGCAGCTTAGTTATTGACAAATTGCCTTCAAAACTCGACGCATTTGACTTGTTCAACTTCTCAAAGGCGCCCCATCTTAAATTGTGTTTAAATTTCATTTCTTTCTCACTGAATCCAATGTGCCAACTTCCAGCTACATGCTGCCTATAATTGCTTTTTCATATGTTTGAATCAGGTTTCGTAGGGTTTATGTTTGTCAAAAAATCGTGAAACCTCGATTTTCAGCAGTTTTCTAAAGATGCTCAGATTTTTTGTACTACGCTATCAAAAATCAAACCGTTTGCGCAGACTTGCAGCTTACATCACGATCTTTATGATGCCTCAAAATGAGATTGCTATATAAAATAGGAAAAAAGTTACGGGAAAAGTTGCAAAACTTATGTGCCAACCTAATTTTTTTAAACGTCTACAAGAAAAAAAGTCACTTGAACATTTTTATAACCCACGTAAGTAAATTTCAAAAATTTCGCGATCTATTTTCGCCCCCCCCCCCCCCCCGCTCCGCCACTGCTTCTTCTGATCAGCTTCTAACTTTTCAGTAATAAATTTACATGTTCCGTTCAAGCACAAAGCATTAAGATCCTGGAAGAAAACACTGAAAACTTAGTCGTTTCAAACAAAATTCTTCTGTCTTCCAGAATGAAATGGAGGGCGAGTCACGAAGCTCATGCGTTTTTCACAAGTACACAAAATTACCAATAAAAAACGCATATATAGCACGCATCGAGCCAAGAAAAAAAACTTTTATTCCGAACAGCTGAAACTTTCGTGTTCCTAAAACTAATAATCATACGATAATAAAGAGTAATGAGGAAAAATCTCGATACATTTCTCATATTTCTCAGTGTTCTGTAAAAAACAACCAAAATCCCAACTTTAAGCTCCATAGCTCCACAAGAATTAAGAATCACTCTTTCTTTTCAGCCTACAGTATACTACTCACACCAAGATATTCAAGGGAGCTGGGTGCCAACATACCTGCTCTTTTAACAGCTTATTTTGCTCCTCTAACTCATTCCGCTGACGAAGCAGATCTTTAACTCTGTCCCTTGATCTAAATGAGTAAATGTGAACAAGCACTGCTCTTCGTACATTGTTTTGAAGCACCTACAGGGCACTTAAAATCGTGACGATGGCGCGACGCGGGCGACACGCACGCGCCTACCGGCAACCGCATTCTCTTAGTTTTCATCTTTACTCGAATGGGTTTCTGCTTACGTATGAATTTAGACGAAGAGACTGAGCTGAGAGTTGAGATGATGCCTTTCTGCATGAGTGCTTTATGCTGATATGGGCGCAAAGGCCACAGTCAAATCCGTCGTCACGATTTTACGAACGACCTATATGTATTAAGTTGGTGCATATGTTCTGTACCAAAGTCCTACATAGTCCTACATTCTACTTAGAAAACCCTGGGATATCATTCGATAAAGCAAGGTGCTCTGCAAGAAAGTGTTCAAGCATATGCACCAAATTCAATCCATGCGAAGTCTGAGGCCAGAGACTAAGCCCCGTATGCACGTATTCCACGCGGGGGGGGGGGGGTTGTGAGAGGAGAGGAGGGGAGGATTTGAGAGGGTGTCATATCTCACTACCCTGAGAATCTTTCTTCTTCTTTTTCTACCTGGATTATGAGTTGTTGAGTGGTTCTCATACATTGATACCTGCCGTAGTGGATGCTAGGTTACTGCCATAAAAAATGCCTGCCAAGCATGCTTTCGACAGGAGAAATGCAATGTGAATGTGAATTTTTGGATGATTTCTAGCTCATGAGCAGTGGTTCGTCGCAGACTTCGATATGCTAAGGTTTCACTTAATTCTACTATGAACATGTTCAAAAGTGCCATACTATATTGCACAATTACGTTATCATTGAGTTTGTAGGAAAAAATGATTTTGAAAATGAGAGGTGATCCCCTTGGGATCACACGTGATCCAATCTTGTATACCTTAACAGTACCCTGGCAATCATTATGCGCAGGTATCAGGGAATGAGAAGCTTCATTTCCAGATAGAGAAAAAAGAAATAATATGTCTAAAGTAGCGAAATATGACGCTTCCCTCTCACAGTCAGTTCCCTGCTTTCACCGCGGGGATATGCCCGGAAAATCGAGAAAAAATTGAATTTCCATTACAACATATCTTACGAATCCCCTACTCGCTTACGCACATAAATAACGTCTATGCAGCTGCTGTAATTCTTCCTTAGATGAGGTATTTTTTACGGTTCTGTTTGTTAAAACAACTAGTGAACACTAATTAAAGGTGCCAGATTGCATGCGCGCTTCGGGACCGCCAAGCGGTTTCCCGCTATTTGCCGATTTTTGAATTGTGCTTACGTTTCCTTATATATTAGATGCTAGGCTGTGCTGCTTTCCACCTTTGCTGGGCTGCTTCCCAGCACACCAAAGGTGGAAAAACCTTTGGTGTGCTGGGAACAACCTGAGCTTCTAGCTTTTACAAGAGCTGTGAGAAATATCAAATTTGGCACTCCTTATTGGGGTTTGTTATGCCAAACCGGAACTCGAGAAGCGAGCCGCACAACCGCCAAACTTTTAATGAGGCGTAAGTTATGATCGTACTTATTTCAGTCACCTAAAGGGCCGGGCAACATCACGCGACTTCATGGCCTCACAATTCTTTTGACAAGACAACTATTATGAGTTCATTGGCCAACCACCTTGCATTTCGGTTGTGATAGTTTCCAACGCGACTAATTGCTGACCGGTTTTTCCTAGGACATACTCCCCCCCCCCCATCTAATCGCCCTTTGACAGAATTTCAGCGATATCGCGTCTCGCTGACTTCAAAAGAGCGACGCAACTAACCTTTGATTCAACTGGCTTGGCTCCCTTAGGGCGGGGTTTTGTGATCTAATTGAGGCCGCTCGCGCCCGCGACGCACCTGCGTCTCTCTCGCGTGAGTGCTCTCTGATCATTACCTAGCTAATTAAAATACGAAGCCCCGCCTTTGCTGAAGCCAAGCCAGTTGAATTAAATGATGTATCGCTGAGATTGGACTTCATTCCACAGAGATTTCTTGAAAGCTTTTCGTTTGTTCAGGATGTTTCCTTGTAGAGATGTTAAGAAACTGATCAAAATTTGCAACATCGCAATTTTTGGCGTCATTCTAGTGTGTGGGCCCAAAAAATTTCAAAGCACCTCACTTAAAGTTAATCAATGGGGTTGTTCAAGGCGCTGATTTATACTGCAGTCAAATTATACAAAAAGGCCATTTTGTAGAGAAGTCATAGTAGGTATAGGCGATTCGCACGCGGATAGCGGGCGTGGCCCTGCAGACATTTAAACGCGTTGAAAAACTTGTTGAACCTCCATTTTGAATTCAATTTTTGTACTCTCTAACTATCAAAACTGCTACGCGCATAAGTTGGCAAACCTTGGCAAAGCTTTGCCTGCTGTACCGTCGGGAATTGATATATGGTGGCTGATCAAAGTGCGATTTTTTCGCCAAATTAATGAAGTGTCAACAATGCGTGGTGAACAAATAACGTTTTTTTTGGATTTTGTACGCGTAAGGAGGTGTAAGACTTCGCTTCAATCTCCGCCATAACGCGTAGCGTAAGGAGGATGTTTTGATACTTGTGGTAAAGTAAGTGAACTATACAAAGTTTCAGCAGTCGCAAGGACTTGATTAGCGCACACCCACCAACCAAGAAGGATCCTTGTGCAAATCGGTATCGTTTTGGTGTCATCATGTCCAAAAACCCATAGGTTGAGTTTGCGAAGTCCGGGAGCGCGACAGGGTTCTAATGCACCAGATGATGCAGAAGTATGCCCAGGTAGACCGATTAGTTTAGTCGCTGCGACTTCCTCGCTACTCCCAAGAGATCGCGGCGATTCTATCGCTCGAAACCCTGCCCCTGAGACAATTTAGAACTTGAAGTGGAGCAGGAGGAAGCAGTAAAGCATGGCATTTGACGTGTCGTGCTCTACCGCAATCGGGATGCTCCACTTTCAATTAAAAAAAATCGTCCATAAGGTGGCTACTAAAATGAGGGCGACTATAAAATTGGGAACGCATCAAAGCATGACTCATTCAAAGGCAGTGGCTCGGCAAAATGGACCCCTGCCAAATTTTGGAAATGTTTTGTAGACCCTCCCCCAAGAATACCGTAGTTCAACCCCCCCCCCTCCCCTCCCACCTTTCAATTCATGCGCTGAGGAGGCGCCTCTATGCTCCACCAGTCCTGCCCACTTCCATTGACAATGAGTGGGCGTCAACGGGGACCCGAAATGTGATCTCAGGGCTTGGCGCATGGTGGTGTGCTTAGAGGGGGGGGGGGGGAGTCTACTACCTAAAACTACCAACGTCATTGGAGTCCCTTTACCAAGCCGCTGTCTTCAAGAGATACTTTTATAGGTATCTGAGACTATATCCTGGAGGAGAAATTCTTGGCACCTTTCAATATTCATCTGAGACATCCTTATCCTTAACTTCTTCTCTTCGATCAAAGAGCGCAGTTCCTTTACGGCAGCTTCTTTTGCAACGAGTTCGTTCTCGACATGATGTAGCTTTTCGTTCAACTCTACAATGAAGAACATATGCCGTAACTTACAAAGGAAGAAGCCTTTTTGATTGAAGTGGCCTTTTCAGATGAGTCCTACTACACTTTGAAGAGCACTGAAGTGATTCCAGGTCTCAGTTATCTACCACGTGCCTCTGAACGCCGAGTTATAAGCGTTTTTTCAGTAAGCTATAGAATGTGCAAACTGGAACAAAATCGTCCCCAACTGCGCAAATGGTCCGCTGTTAGGTACATCACCACTTCCTTCAATGGATACCTTCTGTTTAATACACTCATAACTAACACAGCTCTATTCAAAGTCAATGGATAGGCAAAATGGTCCCTTCTTGAACTTTGGTGGATTTAGGTAGTAGATCCCGAAGTACACTGTAGCCCAAATCCCACGTGCCAATACACTCGTTAAGCCCTGAGAATGGGCTTCAAAACTCCATCGGCCCCGCCCGCTTTCACCGAGTGGGCGGGGCGGGTGGAATTTTGAAGCCCATTTTTTAGGGCTTAGCGCATGAGTTGGGAGGTAGGATGGTCGCAGTGTACCTGGGAGGGGGTCTACTATTAGGTCGTCTTATAAGTTTTTTCAATTTTGATTTTGTCGCGCAATAAGTCACACACTTCCCAATGCTGGTTAGATTGCATACCGTTCGATAGAACAAAGCAAACTCTGTAAGATGGCTCGTAAGTGTTCGCACTAGCTTCAGCACATCACGGGTTGGAAGCCGAAATCTGAGAGCTTTCGAATGCCCAAAAAATTAAATTTTTTCACTTATCTGCCCAACGAAAACTTATCAAATCCCAAACTTGCTCAAGCGTATATACTCCACATAAGACATTCATATTTGCCGTTGCTGTGTTTATTTCTGCGCTAGAAACCGAGAAAACTAAAACTTTCAAGTTTCAAAAAAAGTGATGCTGCGCTGTTCTTACATAGGAGATGCTTATCAAGTATTTAGAAATACAATCACAGATTTTCAGCTTTCCATACCCTTTGGTTCCCGAAAAATATTGCAGCATAACATGTAGCAAAAATAGCGAAAATTGGTATTTCTCAAGAACTAGCGCTTCCAGGTAGATTTGCCGGTGTATTTCTAAAGGCTTGCAGTATGCATTTACCAGTGGCGGTCCCAGATTTCCGTCCGGGGGGGGGGGGGGACGGCAAAATTTTTTTCCAGTGAAGGTGCGTGGCGTTAGCCAGGTGCTCCGAAGAATTTTTTGGGGTGCTTCTCAAAATTTTTGCAGGTCCCCAATCTTTAAAATCTGGAAAAAGGGAGCGTGGCGTCAGCCACGCCCCCGAAGAAAATTTGTTTAGCGGATTTAAATTTTTAAAATTTTTTAAAAATTTCAAAAATTAAAATTGAAAATTATTTTCATTGAAATAAACAAGTCACTTGCGCATTTTTATAACCCATATAAGTAATTTTCAAAAATTTCGCGACCCATCCTTCGGGGCCCTCTCCGCCCCTTCCCCTCGGTCTGCCATTTACCTATGTAAGAACAGCGCAGCATCGCTTTTTTGGAAGTTTGAACTTTAGTTTTCTAGGTTTCTAGCAACGAAACAAACACAGAAACGGCACATATGAATGTATTATGTGGGATGTATATGCGTGAGCACGTTTGGAGTCTGGTAAGTTTTCTTAGGACGGAAATGCAAAGAATTTTCGAGTTTTCGCGCATCCGAAAGTTCTCAGATTTCGGCTTATAACCCGTAATGTGCTGAAGCTGATACGAACACTTGTGAGCCATCCTACAGAGCTTGCTTTGCTCTATCCGGTATAATGCATCCTTTAGAATTGAAAAACGTGTGACTTATTGCGGGAAGAAATCAAAACTGAAAGAAGTTATGAGACAAATTAGATGTAGGTGGATTTAGTCACCATTCGGTACTCTTGTTTGTATCAGGAAAAGCGGTCCCACTAGAGTACAAAATTCAAAGACTTCAAATTCAATCGGAATTCGGTATGGAGCTTATATGACACTAGCTGGCTTACCCGGCTCCGCCGTATCCGGACCAAACTCGGCACACATACACTTCGGGCCCCGGCGGGTGTCACAGTCCACTTTTGGTTATCGATCGATGTCGATTTTACCGATTTTTATCGATTTTTTTGCAGAGTTCACCTACAGGGCTAGGAGTTGGCACAGGAGGGGAAGTGAGCATGGGGATTCCGAATACAATATTAGTTTTCAGAATTATCGATTGCTTTTATTGATTTTATCGATTTTTTGTAAATTTTGACATGCGAGGCTGGGATTTTGCACAGGGGGTAATCGAGCATGCTGATTACGAACACAATATTAGTTTTCAGGATCGTCCATTACTTTTATCGATTTTTTTGTAAAGTTTGACCTGCGGGGCTGGGAGTTTGCACAGGGGGTAATCGAGCATGCAGATTACGAATACAATATTAGTTTTCAAGATCGTCCATTACTTTTATCGATTTTATCGATTTTTTGAAAATTTGAGCTAGGGGGCTGGGAGTTGGCACAGGGGGGTAATCGAGCATGGGGATTCCGAGCACGATTACCCCCCTGTGCCAACTCCCAGCCCCGTAGCTCAAACTTTGCAAAAAAATCGATAAAATCGATAAAAGTAATCGATAATCCTGAAACCAATATTGTATTCGGAATCCCCATGCTCGATTACCCCCCTGTGCCAACTCCCAGCCCCGTAGGTGAACTCAGCAAAAAAATCGATAAAAATCGATAAAATCGATATCGATCGATGACGAAAAGTAGCCTATGACACCCGCCGGGGCCCGAAGTGTATGTGTGCCAAGTTTGGTCCGGATCGGTTCAGAAATGGAATTTTCTATTCGGAACATACGTACACACATACATACATACATACAGACAGACAGACAAACAGACATTCAGCTTTATATATAAGATGATGTCTACAGATGTGGTGCTAATTTGATTAAATCAGGTCATTTTGTAGTCTAGCGAGCAACGCATGCTGTTTCGCCGCGCGCGATTTCTCGGTCCGAAGTGTGTTAAAGGAAGCGTCCCGGCAAAAAGATGGGTGCCGGGTTTTCGTGACAAAAAAATAGACCCCCTAAATAGGCGATTGCTGAAGTTCGGAGCGAAAAAGGGGGTCTACCAAGTCTAAAATTCCTTCGAAAGTGGCCCTAATATGACGGTAGGGCCGGACGCCGCCCACACAGCGATTTCGAACTGCAAGGCCAGAGCACGCATAGCGCATACAGCAATGAGCGCAGGGTCCTGCAACGACTCTGCGTCTCTACCTTGCATGCATCTCGTACTCGCCTGAGCCTACCGTAAGATCCGGGCCACTTTCGAAGCAATTTTTAGGCTTAGTAAACCCTCTTTTTCGCTCCGAACTTCAGTCATCGCTTAGGCAGGGGTCTACTTTGACATCGCCACAAGAACTCGGCACCCATCCTTCCGGGACGCTGCCTTTAAGCGCAGAGACAGCGCAGAGACGCTGACAAGTGATTTTACCTAAATTCTGCGTTCAATATTCGTTCATTATTTGTTTCAAAGACATTTATAACTCGAGGTCTGAAGGCGCTTGCCAGATAATATAAATAGATTTGGAGTGAGCATTCAATAATTCAAAGATCCAAGGATTCATTCGGAAAAGCCACTTTGACTAAAAAGGTTTCTTTGTTAGGTGCTATTATTCGTTCCAACATTTATAACTCGAGGTCTGAAGGCGCTTGCCAGATAATATAAATAGATTTGGAGTGAGCATTCAATAATTCAAAGATCCAAGGATTCATTCGGAAAAGCCACTTTGACTAGAAAGGTTTCTTTGTTAGGTGCTATTATTCGTTTCAAAAACATTTATAACTCGAGGTCTGAAGGCGCTTCTAGATAATATAAGTAGATTTGGAGTCAGCATTTAATAATTCAAAGATCCAAGGATTCATTCGGAAAAGCCACTTTGACTGAAAAGGTTTCCTTGTTAGGTGCTACTTACCTGCATCTGCTTTTTCCAACAACACTTCCTTGTGTTTAGCCTTGTAATATTGTTTCACTGCAATAAACAGTTGTAGGGCTCTGTATGATCGCGAAAGTAGGTGAGTTTGCGGCCACTGCACGCGCAGGATGCTACAAGGCCTCAAACCAGTTGAACTCCCGTACTCGAAATCATTTCACGCAACGGGAAGTAGCACCTGATAGCAGAAAAACGTTTGGAAGGAGATAGATAGCTGAGAAAACCCTACCGCGTGCAACGGCAGCAAATTCAAGGACTCTCTTCGATCACGCAGAGCCCTATACTCGATTGAAACTTGAAGACAGCGTCCAGGCGAAAGTGGACACGTGAGAATGTTACAAGGAAGATTTTGGGGGCCTTTAAAGGCCGCATGCATCAACATTCCCGACGGGAAGATCGCTGCTCAAAAGAAAGCTTTATATGCTGAAGCTCCAGATATGTGAATTTCACGGTGTCTATCCATGCATAAGAATAGGCCGCCCGCGCTCGGGATGGGGAGTGCGTAAGGTATGTATTGCGCGTCACTCCTCTTTCCTCGTGCACTCTCGCTTCTCGTTTTCTCCGCCTCTCTTCCAGTCACAAACTGTCTTCGATAGACGCAACAGATTGCTCTCCAAACACGGCGCAGACGGCCTGTATTCTCACTACCCTTCACAAACATTTCAGAGAGGGAGCGCATTGTTGTACAAGCGTTTTCCACCATTTTGTATAATACTCTGGTGTTTCCCAACAGATGCCTTTTTTTTTTTCAAGATATTTTTTCTTGCTAAGTTAGCGAAAACACCCAAAGCTGTGTAGGTTATCTGATTCAACTATGCTAAGTATGCGGATTAATGGAAATTTCGATGAACTATTAGTCGAAACTTGAGGTCTACCGCATATCAATCGGCCACTTCGATTCTGCGAACTTCCCTTGCCAGTATCAAGCAGTACTCCATCCTTGCCTACCTTGAAAATTCCGCTTCAAAGACGTCCAAACTGTGGAATTAAAGCCAATCAAAATCTCTTTTTTTCTATTTTTCGCTTTCAGTAGCTGTGCTTTCATCAACTGTTATCAGGAATAAGGAAGAGGAATCAGGCTCAAACCACTCCTGGGAGATCTACAAGCTTTAAGCTATCGAATCATATAAATATTACTCGCTGAGGTTTTTTTTGACACAGCTAATGGGGTGTGACACAACTCCAAAAAAAGCTGTGGCTGCCACACTTTAAGGCACGACTTGTACAACGACAATTTGTACAGGTACACGCCTTCCATCGTCGTCGCGTGCTCCGCACTGACCTCATCCGTGAGGTCGACAACTCGTATTGTCGACTATTGAAAGCAATTTCAGGCATATGTACCCAGTGACGTGATATTAACGGACGATTTGTCGGCTTGCATGCTTTTGAATGCGGTTCATTCAAGGGCAATTCTCCGCGTACTGGCATGCAAGTCGTTTGCCAAATACTGGAGCGTGAAGTTTGGGGACGATCTCGACAGCGGATGAATGGTTTGCACTAAAGTCTGGGCGATCTTCACGTGCCAGAATGCCTCGTAGTCACAGCCAGATATAAAATTTTCCATAGATGTGTTTGTTAATGATAATGACTTCATTTAGTTGTTTCCACATCATGTGTTGTGTTCAGTGACTTTGTTTAACGTTTCCATATGAGGTGTGGTATAAGTTCCATAAATTCTGAATGCGCCCTTTGGCCCGACTTGCGCGAGCGCTTGTCACGAAGGACGGGCGGTCAGTACACTTTGGACCAAATCGATTATTCAAATAAATCATTCGAGAATGGTTCAAAAATTCGAATATTCGAAAATTTGAGATATCGAATAGCAATCGATAGTCGAATATTCGAGATTTTTCATTTCAATTGATCGAGGATCGGATATTCGAAATTTTCTCGATGGTCACCAATTCGATCATTCGATGTTCATCGAAAATTCGAATAATCTATAACATTGACTTGCTTGAGAGGATCATTAAGAAACATTTGCTTGAATGGTTAGAACACCTAAATCTCATTCCCATAGAACAACATGGATTCCTAGCAGGATCTTCCACCTGTTCACAGTTGGTAGATTGTTCTTTACGTTGGAACAAGGCATTGGATGAAGGGAAAGGGGTGGATGTAGTTTACTTCGATCTTAGCGAAGCCTTTGATACCGTTTGTCATGAGTGTCTCATGGAGAGATTGCGGTGTATAGGCATAGAGGGCACTTTACTGCATTGGTTTCGATCCTATCTTAAGGATAGAAAGATGATAGTGCCCTTCTCTATGACTTTTCCTTCCCTAGGGAATGCCCATCGGGCGTTCCACAGGAAGGGATTTTTGCCTATACTTTTTCTTATATACACACATGATTCACCTGCTTTTCTCAGAACGCATACGAGGATTTTTGTGCATGCGTAGAGGATAACATCAAAGTCACTGCAGTCTATAGTGAAACAGAAAAAGAAGCAGTTCAGCAGGCTTTGACGAAATCTGTCGAACGTATGTTGCAGTGGACAAATTTTTGGCATCTCAAAGTCAATTTTCGTAAAAGTCAGCATTTCCCCACAGGATCGCTTTCACTGAAAGTTTATAACAATGAGCTAGGTGATAGAGTGAGCAGGGAAGTTCGTGATCTTGGCGTGCTAGTTGGCAATGGTTTGAACTTTGAGAGCCATATTGACGCGGTGGCGGCCAAGGGCTTGAGGGTTTTGCACTGTCTTTTTAGAAATGTTTCGAGTTCTGATCCTTTTCTTTAGATCAAACTTTTCAAAATGTTCGTGTTGCCACTGATTGAATACTGCGGCCCCGTATGGAGTCCTTATCGCTCCAAGGATATTAACAAGATTGAAAGTGTGCAGAGGACGTTTACCAGAGTACTCTACTACCGAGTCTTTCCGGACCCAAGCTATCCGCAGGGTCTACCCCCATATAAAGAGTTGAACCTCAAGAGTATTTATTACAAAAGGCTAGAAGCAGATTTGATTTTAGCCTATAAGATTCTCAAAGGGGAACTTCGTTTAAAGCCCTCAAGCTATTGGGCGTTTCGTCCGGTGTACGGACGGCATGGCGGTTTTGCCTTTGACTCAAGCTACCGAGCGCAAATCGTCTGAGGTGCACGAGTTCCTTTTTTTTCAGAGTCGCCAAATGGCTAGAACGTTTGCCTACCACTCCTTTATGCCTTAAGAATTCAGCACGCTTCAAAATTGCCATCCGAAAAATGGACATTCTACAAGTGCTAGGCATACGTGACGTGGAATGAATCATTTGTTGCTGTTCTTGTCTTTTTTATCACTCGCTTTTTGTTTTGACTGTATGTTCCCTGCACTGCAGTAACGTGAACAGGCTACCTTTTGTATGTTTTCCTAGCTCTCCCGTGTCTTTCCAGAGCTTCTCAGCTCCGGGTGTACCTTTCGTCAGATAGCTTTCCTCACTTTTCATTACCTCTTCTAGTACCTCCAGTCAGGTTCTCTGAAGGCTTTTTGTTTCGGGTTGTTTCTGGCCGTTGCACTACACTGGCGGTAATACTAGTATGTGGGGCGTTGTGTTGTCTTCTTCCGCCACTCCGGTCTGTCATGGCATGGCGGGTTCGTGGGGAGGGGCGGGGGCTTCGGTGAGCGGCGGTACTGGCAGCCCCCCGCCAGTACACCCGTTTTGGCTTATCTGGCGGGGCGGCCAGTATAGCCGATCGCCGGGCCTCCGCTCTGTCCCCACGACTTGGGATGCTTGATCGGGCTGACGGGCGAAGAGGGAATGATCTGGTCAACGTTTTTATGTATCTCTTTCCTCCAGAGAGTGCAAAGTAGGTTGGACAAGATGTGGATGACTTATTCATTTCAATACGAGTGTTTCTTTGTTGGTTTTTTCCTCTTTCTTTTCATGTTTTCTATTGATTTGTCGTTTTACATCCTGTTCTGATCTGGTTTGTTGTATTGAAGCGCGACTCCTGGCGTACAAAATAAATAAATAAATGAATTGACTATTGGAAAAATGTGATGATCCTCAAATCATAGAAAATTTGATATCCAGCATATAGCATATACAGGATCACAAAGGTATCTATACACGCTTGATCCCTAGTATCTCATTTACGAAAGCTTTTGCCAACCTTTGAGTTTCTGCAAGGCTACCTTCAGCTTACATCTGCAGCAAGAAACAACGTTTTCTTATCGTGGGATTACGGTAAGAACTTTCAGCATACAAAGCCACTGCGTTAATGCCGTCTGAACTTCTCCAATAACATTTATCACGTTTTTGAGAAAAAAATTGGAAACGTTTATTACGGCTTACTGCTATATCACGAAAAAGGCATAATTGAATACTAACTTTATATTCATAAAAGTTTTCATTCCTTAAGGAAGCCAGCACTAAAAAAAGTACTCAAAGTTTGGCAAACGACTTTGTGGCTCAGTAATGATGACTAGTTCCGCATAGTTGTGGGACCCCTTATATATCATCTCACAACACACAACAAGAGTATGTATGTTTAAATGGCCCCGTGCGCTAATCTGACAAGTATGCAAGACAGGCGTCTTTCTGTGCCGCAGTAGTGGCTTGATGCGACGTTGCGAGGTACGACGCAAGAATCTCGCGTAGACGTTGTCCTCCTGCTCGCCGAAATTTGACGGAAAGATGGTCTGGTCCTGGAGCCGTGGACGTCTTCATGATCTGAATGGCGTTGCGCACTTCAGCAGGTAGAATTCGTGGTGGTACTTCTCCAGTGGGGAACAACGGGCATCGGCACGGATGATGATGAGCGGAAGAGGTTGATGTACAAGTTCTTCGCGATAAATTCCACCTTATATCGGGAAGAAGTCGGGGTCCTGTCTTCGTTTGATAGTGCAGCCAGCGGCACGTGATATTCACAGAGATTCCTTCGACTTCTTGAGACTTCGCCTTCCTTTGGCTGCTTCCTGTATCTTGGCTTGCCTGTATACTTCCTGAGATCCTCCTGCAAAGCTATTCTGCAACTGGTGTTGGCTATCAGTGGCTCGAGATGTGTTGCTTTCCAATCCTGCCTCTTTTCTTCTTTCGAGCAATTCCTTGGTCGTCTTCGA